AGAACGATGGTTACTTCGTCTGCTGTCTTGGAGCAGACCTTGGTAATCCCGAACCATTTGGATACGGGATCAATCATTGTCCAGCAATGAAGTGTACATGTGATCGTCTGATTCATGTATCTGGCTGGTAGTTCATTGGTCCAATGAATCTACGAAGTTCCTTCCTATTCGTAGGAGGAGCGATATCTGGATCGCATCTATTGTCCTTTAGTTAAGGGTTGGATTCCTTCTCGAGTAATCCAATGGTCTAGATACTCAAGTTCTTCCTTTCGAGGAAGGCCTTGGTAGTGTTGATTTTAAATCCGACTTCTTGAAGTCTTTGGAAAAATTCATCTAACTATTCAACGTGATCTACTAGATAGTCATCAGTTAGGATGAGTTGATCATCAATGTATGCACGGACATTTTCTAAGTCATGCATGCGTGTTTTCATCTTCCTTTGGAAGATGTCGGAGCTATAGCATAGGCCCATTGGCATAGCGTGCTGGAATTCGTCTGGATTCGGTAGCCTGTCTCGCATCCTTGGGATCGGACACGGTTTTAGCTTAATCTTTTTGTTCAGTTCCCGGAAGTCGGAGATGAACCGTGTGGATCCATCCTTCTTGGGAATGATAATGTTGGTCCGTCCACTCGGAACAGTTTATCTTTTTAGTACTCCTGCCTTGCAGAGACGTTCAACTCTTCTTGAGAGGTTTGGTATGGACACGTGGAGTAGGGTGAGCCCTAGTAAATAGGATTTAGCGTCGGGACGAAGTTCTACTTCGTAGTCGTCCATTTGCAACTCTCCCAAAGTACCATCGACTGGGTCGGAGCACTTGGTCGAGAAGGCATGAGGCAGTTCTTGCTCTTCCTTATTTAACTGATTTCGACTCTGGCACATCTGCCTTAAGTCAGTCTGTTCGTATGTTGCATCAAGAATCTTCTTGAGACTATCTGCACTGTCGCTGACAGCTGCAGGATCAGGAATGGAGAAGTTCTCTTCTCTATCGGTATCGCCATCTTTCACAGGGGAAAATATGCTGTTCCACTCCATTGACATGGTAGTGAAATCAAACTTGATTCTTAGGTCGGAGAGAGTGTCTTGACCTATGATCATGTCATGCGCCCCCAAGTTCTTGGTGACGTGTAAATTCCATTCGATAATTCTATTATCGTGGAACTCAGGAATCATAAGTGTGCCCTTACACTTCGTGCGGGGTTTCAATTCCTTTACAGAAGCAGTCCGTAGTGTTTGGACGCCCCCATGATTCTTCATGAGTAAACAAACTCTTAGCATGAGTTTGAGTAATTAAGGTTCCGGATGCTCCTGTATCCAGTAAGCAACAGAGTGTAACGGGTTTTTGTTTCCCTTTCTCTCGTCTGTTAAATCTAACATAGACGATAGTTTTGAGGTCTCTTGTCTTGCGACGTTGACGAGTTGGTTGGCCATGGACGAAGTTAACGATGCTGAATAGATCGTCAGAGTCTAGTTGAGCAGTTGCTAGGCAATTATCTAATTTGCCGTAGACTTCATTAGTTGCAAACAAATCTTGTTTACTATTTAGTGAGATATCTTCATCACTTAGGTATGAGAAATCGGAACATGGTTCCGTTGAATCATCATCCTGGCCTAATCCTCAGACGGAGATCTCTCCATCCGAATGATTGAAGTCGAATTCGGCAAGCGCCTTGTCAACGGCAGCCATTTTCTTGTCCATCATGTTGATGGATCCAACAGAGGAGTTGTCCTCGTTGTCGGAGTCGTCTGACTTGCGCTTGGCAACATGGTTGCATTCGCTTTTCTTCTTGCGATCAGCCTTGACCGCAGCGTTGGAGACTTTCTTCATAAGGACAGAGAGTTCCTTCTTGGTGTAGGACTTGGCGTCGTCGGACTTGCACTTCCAAGTCTTGTTCTTGTTGTACGCTGGCTTGCTATCGTTGTCAGACGAGGACTGAGACTTGGCCTTGAGCTTCTTCAGAGTCATGCAGTCAGCAGTGTTGTGAGTGCTGGACTCGTGGTAGTCGCACCATTTTTCTTCGTTCTTGGAAGAGTGGTCGTTGTTGCGAGTATAGACTTGTACTTCTTGCTGTTGTTCTTCTTCGAAGGAGCTTGCTTGGCATCACCGCCCTTGTCAAAGTCTTTGGAGGATTCCATGCGTTCGCAGAATCCAATGGTTGCTCCGATAGGAGCTGAGAAAGGATCGAAGTCGTGTTCGTCCATCTTCTTCATCCACGAGCGTGGAATTCCATGACAAACAATGTCAATGACTTCGTCATGGTTCAATGTTTGGTTGGGTCCAAAAGGTGGTAGACGAGGAAGTTCATCGGCATTCATCCGACTGAGGTTGTTGACATAAGCCCGAGTAGTCATATCAGCAGGCTTACGCATCTTGCGGCGCATGAAGCGTTTCTGCTTTTCAAGAGCCTTGTAGGGACAGACCGCTTCGACACAGGCATTTATGCCAAACGTAATGTCAGTGTCGTCCAAAGCAGGCTGAGCTGCTCCGTTCCAGGCAGCCTGGAAACGCGCTTGGAAAGCGGCTTCGTCTTCACCGCCACGTACGTCGCGTGGAGCAATCGCGTTGACTGCAATCTGGCACAAGGCATTCCAACGTATTTCACGATGGCCTGCACAGCTAGATTCGTAACTGCTCTTGGCAGAGCTAGAAGTCATCTCCTTGAGGAGGTTATGTTTGTCGTCAGGCATAGCAATGGCGAGCCCGACGAAGACCTTCTCCATACGTCCAGCCCACTTGATGGTTTGACGTGGAGTCTCAGATCCATTGATGATTTGGACCTTGAAGGTGTACTTGGCGCTGTTAGCATCTGCTGGAACAGTGCGAAGTTTGTAGGTGGTAGAGCGAGAATCGTCGATTTCGCATTCATCGTCGAGGTCGATGAGAGGAAGGATTGGTTTGTCTCGCGCAGCTTAGACTCGAAGCTGGTGTACGCGTCTTTGGCAATCTTCATGGTGAGGAATAGGTTGAGGGTAGCTGAAAGCTATTGTGTTTGTTAACAAAATGCACTACGCTAAAAGCTAGTGTAAAGATCTTTCGAGTGTTTTGAGTTTGAGAGAATGAAAGTTATGAGAGGATTAGAAAGCTATGAAAACTAATCAACGAGAGAGATCCACAATCAAAGGATCGTAGATCTGAACTCCCGCGGGAGACTGTAAAGTGTGATAGAGTAGGTTGCGGTAGCAATCCTACTCACTCCACCATCCAAAAACGGAACGCGTGGAATTTGTCTAGCATTTATCTAGTAGCGTGGAAGTGCTCCACGCCAGCTAAATATCTAGAGCGATGTTTCATCATCAACCTAGTATGACTAGAGCGGTCATTGAGAACCCTGTCTCAATGACTATTCACAAAAGACTCAGTCATGAGTCGAACTCAAACCCTATCTAGGATCGAGTCGCGAATAAGGCTAAGAGCCGTGTATTGCATGAGTAGTACGCGACAGGATGATTGTCTTGTACGATCACGGCACCAAGTTGGTAATCACTAGCATCTGTGTAGACATGGAAAGGCTTGTTATGGTCTGGATAACGGACGAAGATGTCCTTGGCCAGTACTGTTTGGCTTGTTCAAAAGCACGTTGATGGATGTCTTTCCATACAAACGCCCTAGACTTGGATGTCAATTCGTAGAGTGGGTTGAGTATGTGAGATCTCTTGGGAAAGAGCTCACGATAGAAGGTGACGGCACCAACAAAACTGCGAACATCTTTGATTGTTTGGGGTTGCTTAAGTTGCAAGATGGCATCGATTTTCTTGCACCACGGTTTGAGTCCTGTAGGTGTGAGCCAAAAACCTAACCAATCTGTCCCTTGGACAGCCCACTCACACTTCAGAGGATTGATCGTGAAGTTACTGTCCTGTAGTTTTGTAGGACAATGTCAAGTGTGCGCAAGTGGCCTTGCCATGTCTTGCTGAAACAACCGACGTCGTCAATGTAGACTTCTGTGTCATCCACGTCGTTGAGAATGCTCTCCATGACGGCTTGGGCAAAGTCTGGAGATTGCTTGACTCCCATCGGTACTCTGTTGTATCGATACAACCCAAAGGGCGTGTTGATGACACACAAGTCTTTGGCTTCATCCGAGAGTTCGAACGTGTAGTACTGCATGGAGATGTCCAGCTTCGTGAAGAACTTGTAGCCAGATCTATTCTTTTAAGAATATCGTGTATTCTTGGCAACAGATGGCATTTCCGTTTGATTACCTCGTTGAGGGCTCTAAAGTCGGAAATCCATCAAATGCGTCCATCCTTCTTGGGAATGACGAAAGTAGGAGCCGCGAATTCGGCCCATTCCACTTTGGATAGAACACCAAGTTCCACCAGTCGCAGAAGTTCTTCCTTGAACACTTGCCTGTGTGCCTCAGGTATGCTGTATGGTCGTTGAAACTTGAGTTTGTCACGACCTCCTGGAAGCAATTCCAGATGCATTTTACGTCCCTTGTAGGCACCAAGCTTGCCACTAAACAGTGGAGTGTACTTGCTCAAGACTGCATGTAGTTCTCGTTTCTGCATGGCAGACAACTGTTTTTGTTGTTGAACAACATTGTCGATGTCGACTTTGTCATACTTGAACCACATAATGTTCTGCTGACCGGCTTGGAAGCAGGCCTCAAGAGGATCCATTTCTTCGGCTTGACAGAAGAAGCTATCGTCCTCGTCCATGGCAGTCAACAGTTGCTGTTGAACCTGCCGGAATTGTTCCGTTGCTTTGGGTGCAACACGGTACGGTATTTCCATATATTGTTGTGGCGCTGACGCATCAGGTGTCCACCTAAGGACTTGTCGACTGTTGTAGTTGTCAATCCCGATTGCTTCTAGGAAGTCACGTCCTAAAATTACATCGAAAGAACTCATTCCTTCTGAAAGGTAGAGGGCAAAAGGCGTGACTATATGTTTAGTAGGACTAAACTCAGGCATGACAATGTCCTGTACAACGACTCCAGATTGGGTCTGAGTTGTCGTGTGCAATACCTGCACTTTGCTTCTTTTGAAAGCTCGCACGTCACATCCATGTAGGAGTGCTTGCTTGTAGATGTAACTACGTGTTGATCCCGGGTCAAACAACGTTTGCAAAGGTGTCTTGGACACACTTCCTCCGATTTCACGGATGACCACTATTGAGCTAGGAGAAGCTAATGGATTGGCTTTCCTTGGTACAACTATTTGTTTATCATTTACATTCCTACTCACTAAGTTGTGAGTTGAAGAGCGATTGTGGTTTATTCTGCGTGTTGCTTGGGTCTTACCGGAAGAGTTCTGGAAACCGGGTTCCACAACCTCAACGTCATCACCGACCGCGTGATGCTCATCCTGTTGATGATTGTGGTCACCGCCACTTGGCTTCTTATTGGACGGTTTGTTGTTCCTATTGCCAGTCTTGGCCTTGGAGTTAGGATTGTAGGCATTGGACCAGCAATCCTTCCAAGTGTGGTTGGAATTCAGGTGAATTGGACAAGGGGCGTCATCTGCAAGCCGACCACCTTCCGTAGTGTTAGGACGATGTTTGCCGATGCTTCCCTTGTAGTGTTTAGCCGTTCGTGACGAAGGCTTTCCCTTCGCTACTGTCGCCTTCTGGTGCTGTTGATTGCGCGAAGCTGCCGAGTCAGCTTCCACTGCACGGTCATGCATGAAAGACGTCACGTCTCCCATTTCCTTATCATCAAGAGTCTTGCCATGGATCTTTTCATACACCGTGACCCAATTCGCCGGATATGAATCCAGATAATGTCGGAGCAATGCTACCCCTTCTGGCACTGGATGAGTGCCACGAAGCCATTCTGCGGCTTCAACTGCGACTAGGTAGTCGTCTTCCCACTTGTGACACTCGATCTTTCGAGGCTTTTGGGAGACCTTGAGGCCTTCCACTTGATTGAACTGAGCTACCTCTGTAGTTCGAGAGCCAACAAATGTCTTAAGACAGGCCGTGATGTCGAAATCGACGGCCATCTGTGCTGGTTGATCATCTTGAGCCGGTACAGCAGCAATACGTGCCCTGTACTTGGCCAATGCCTTGTCGTAGGCTGTCAAAGCCGTGTCTGTGAGATACTTCCGATACAACACAGATTGTGCGAGTCCTTTCCACAGTCAACCCATTTCTAAAAAGATTACCATCTACCTGATCAGGTGTTGCCATCCTTAGAGGCTGAACAGCAATCCTAAAAAGCATACAAAAATACATAGTTAGCAGCAGTAATAGCCATGGTTGCAATAGCCAACAGACACAAGTCCACACTTACCTGCAAATGTTGCCATTGAGTTTCCTCAGCTCCGCGCCAAGCCAAGTCTCCAACCAGCCTCTCAACACAGCAGCCGTATTGTCGTGGGTCCTACCTTCCTGCGCAATGAGCTGCTGGAGCTGGTTGTGCTGCGCAATAATCCGTGTCAGAATCTCCTCGTTCGTTCGTACCTGCTGTTGCGTTTGCATAGCCGTCACCTGCCCCGACTGATTGGCAACTTGACAAGTGCTTGCTTGGCCGGTCGTTCCCGTAGTGCCACCAGCCGTGCCACCACCACCTCCCGTATCCATTGGCTCGATTTCGTTGATGTGGAGCTTGGTGTTGTGCGTCCAAATAGAGAGAGGCACTTTCACCACAGGGTTGACGCCCCCAGGAAGATCGGCCTTGATTCGCTCGTACGCATCTTGTATCCTAACACGAACGGGAGGCTCCATCCTCTCCTCCCAAGATTCGTCAAGAGCAGCCCACAAAAGAGGCAGAGCCAAGTGAAGGGAAATGTCGTTGACACCGTCGTAAAAGGCATGCGTCCTTGGCACCACATGCTCAATCAACCAGTCGGGAGTCACTCTCTTGGCATCCGGGTGTAGCTTGTAGGCAATAGGAGCCCCCATGCAAAGCTTTTCGGCAACACCGGCGTCGATCCAGGGCTGTTCAGGCGAAATGTAGGCATCAACAACCCGTCCAGATAAGCGAGCCTTCCAGCAACCTCGAATGTCAACTTCGTCAGCAGTAGCACCCATCCCTCTTGCCAGAGTGGCAGCAAACTTCCGAATGCTGTGACTCCCAAGAACACCGGCAATGAGGACCGCCACAGCCAGAAATGGAGCTGACAAAAAGACAGCCTTCAGAATGTTGCGGTAGGCTGCGTTGCAGTGCTTGGGAGCCAACTTGGGATCGCTTTCGGGAGTAAAGAGGAATGCATCTTCCCGACCAACGGCGCCATACCCGTAGTTGAAGGACGCCTCCATGTAATTCGCCAATCTGAGCATGGCACAAAAGTCGGTATCCATCGACCCAAGAATGATTTGGTCAGGGCATTGTCGTTCTTCTGAAATATTCTTGGACCAAAGCACCTTGCAACTGAGCGCAAAAGGGAAGTCTGGATGCGGTTTTAGTCGGAATACTTCAACTTGGAGATGTCATCCGTCCTGGTGATGAGATGGACTTGCTGCTTCAACATGCAGGCTGTACGGATGGTCGATTCAAAGCTCCCTTTGCCGTAGAGTTCATGGACCACCTTGCGATACTTTGTTTCCATCAAATCCCTGGTGGCACAGGACTTCTTGCCGCGGTGTTGAGTCTCCGCTTTCTTGACTTCCTTGACCACTTCGTTCACAGGATCGGACTTGGTTGGATTGCCGGAGGTTCCATTCCATGTGGCACCTTTGATGGGCATGTAAAAGGAAATAGCCTTCTTGTCTTGCTCAAGAGTAGAGGAGCGGCAAGTTGGATTCTGCTCTAGATCTTTGAAGTCAACGTCTGTCGTACCATACGCACGCCATTTCAAGTAGTCGGCAACGTGATGTGGTTGGATGCCGCCCAAAGCACTGGGTTGGAAGTGAGCCGTCTTGGTGTATGTCCTCTTGTGCAGCCAGCTCATGAATTTGATGAACAGTCGATGGTAGTCCCGGTTGTACTTGGGCTGTTCCGTGGGTGCTTCAGGAAGATCCGGCACGTCTTCCAACCCAAGGGCTGCTCCAGCATTGGCATTGGCCATGGTGGAGGAATTGTTTGGTCAACTAAGCAATTGTTGGTTGGCTGGTTGAGCTAGAATTTTGGCAGAGTTTCCTTTACAAGTAGCAGCTATCAAAAATAATGAGCTCAAAACTGAAGAAATGAACTGCTGGCTAGCTACCGGTAAGGATCGATCGATCGATCTGTTCGGTCGCACGGGATTTCTGCGTTGTTTACCTCTTTACGGCACGGGAATGCCTTGAGTATGCCCTACTGCAGGGACGATTGGATTTTGGCTTCAGTATCAGCGCAAACTGCAACGGTTGGATCGGAACGATGCATTGGAACGATTGGATCTCATTGGATTCGTACCATATGTTCTGCCCTACTTAAGCGAAAATTGGAATCCTCTCAGTATGTGCATCGGCCTCTATTTATCCAAGCAGGAGCTTTATGTCTAAATCCTCTCAGTTCATTTAATAGTGAGAGTCTTATTGAGAGGATCTTTGTTTCAATGACTATTGGTACCATAGGTTTTCTACGTAGCATACTGTGCCAGATCCTGACAGTATGTGAGATCCACTAGTAGTAGGGGGAAGCACATACTGACACTGTGCAACTACTGTTGCAGAAACGTAGTATTGTACTAATACACTGTGTGGCTAGCTGTAGACTGTTTCCACGGTGTCATTCAGGTACTATTCTATAATTCCATTGAACAAGTCAAGCAAAACAACAACCTTGTCGAAACCATGAAGTGCTGACAATGTATTCTCTATGCATATTCCGTCCAGTCATGTACGTACGTACAAGGCTATGTACGGCCTAGACTGTATGTATGGTATCGTATCGGGCGTGTTGGAGATTGGATAAGCAGCCACACGTCTTTCTCATGGATTCGATGGCACGGCACCACATTTATGATAGATCATTATGTAGCACACATTTTAGGGGTCTTCAATGTTGCTCTTTCAGATCACTTTTTTGGGGTTTTTTCTGGCCCTTGTGGGGGAGCGTGGAAGGTTCTGAAAAGAAGGGGCGGAGAAGTCAAAAAGAAAGAAAAAAACTTCTTTGAAAGAGCACCTTTTTAGGTGCTCTTTTGCTCACAATTTTTCTTTTCTTCACTCTTTCGGTCATTTTTTGCCTTACCGAGTCACTGAGAAGCAGCAATTATTTAAAGACTCGAGTTGTCATGAGTCGTCATGAGTCACGAAGAACAAGATAGTAAGGAAAGGAATTAACATTAAACGAAGAAAGAAGTCATTCGACATACTGACGTCACTGCAAACCTCTCCGACACTTCTCCGATACCCTTTCTCCGCACCTCTGCCCCTCTTCCTGCTCCCCCACAAAGGCCAGAAAAGAAGGGGGAAAAGTGATCTGAAAGAGCAACATTGAAGACCCCTATTGAATGAAATCGAACCCTTTTATGGTACCTGGTACCAGTACCGGTAGCTACAGTAGCATAGTTGACGTGATGCTTACCGTCCTGTTGACCAGACCCAAAGGAGGTTCGATGGATCCTGGAAGTGCACCAATGGCTCTCACAATCGTCAACATTCCACGCCACGGTCTTTTCCAAACCTTGATCCCTTGTTTTGAAAATCCTTCTTTTCTTCTTTTCTTTTTTCTCCAGGTGGATCCGTTTGGCCATCTACGATCAATGTCACCTTCGCCTGCCCCCTTCAGACATCCTTCGGACAAGTTGTCAATAAATAAATTAAGCATCGGGCAATCGGGCAGCAGAGAGATGAGAGATGGTATCACGTCAAGTTGGCTTTAATTAAATACATTAATTTGTGTTCGGAAAAGCCCGTACATTGTAATAAGACTGTACCGAGCGAAAATCCACGATCAAACCACCCCATTCCCACAGGTGGACATGTTTTGGCCACAGGTTGGCTGTGTGAGCGTGCATGGCCATTTCCTCACAAAAAGATTTGGAGAGAGCAGAAGCAACAAAAGCCAAAGATATCTTATTCACCATCAAGCAACCGTCAAGCAATCACCAAGCAACCAATGGGCAACTGTCAATCCTCTTCCCCTGCCATTGCTGCATCTTCCGACGTCACCACTGCTCCTTCCCCATCAACCCGTCCTGATGACCCTGAAGCCGACTTCTACGAGTCCCTGGCGAAATGCCAGAGTTCCCTCCACAAAATGAAGCAAGCCGGATTCCACGATGAGCTGAACCAGGGCCGCATGGCAATGGGTCGACTCGTCCATGACCAAGAATTGTTCCCTCCCGGCACCATTGACGCTTTCTTGGACCAAGACAAGACTTGGACTGGCAAGATTCTCACTTTTCTTCCTGAAGCTGACATTGCAAGTGTTGCCCTCGTCAATAAGAAGATGAACAAACTCGCCAAGGGAGTCCTCTCCAAGGTTCGGGATTCGCGGCTCTGCTCCCTCAAGTTCATGGACCAGAAGGATATCTGGGTTGATGGGATCCTCCCCTTTCTTGGCATGGGACAGTTTGCCTACATTGGAGCCACCAACAAGAAGCTCAACCACCTCTACAAGGCATACTGCGACACTGTCAGCAATCCTCCCGAGGTCTACAATGGCGATTTTCGCCTGGCAAACAGCAGAGACACCTACTGCAGCGTTGCATTCTACAACATTCCCTGTGCCGAACACTGGCTCAAACACTGGCTCACCCATGATTCTCCCGGCAAATTTCCTTGCAGTCAATATGTTTGTGACGCAATCGCTAAACTTGGAAAAACTGCAGTTCTCAAGTGGGCCCGCAGCAAGGAATTTCCATGGGATGAAACGACCTGCAACGAAGCTGCTAAAAATGGTCATTTTGACACTTTGAAGTGGTTGCTTGCAAATGGACGCCCCAGGGATGATGAAAGCATGTGCTTTGCTGCTGCTTGGGGTGGCCATTTTGATATACTCAAGTGGTTGCATGAGAAGGAATGTCACTGGAATGCTGCTACCTGTCATTTGGCTGCTGAGCAAGGCCATCTCCACATTCTCAAATGGGCACACCAGAATGGATGTCTATGGTGTGAACAAACATGTATGTATGCTGCAGTTGGGGGCCACTTGCACATTCTCAAATGGTTGAGAGAGCATGGGTGTCCCTGGGATGAAAACACAACTGATGAAGCTATCTACAATCACAATGGAGATTTTGAACTCCTCAAGTGGGCTCACAACAATGGATGCCCCTTGCCTGCAAAGTCGTACTGGTATGTTGTTGATAGTGATGATCTCGCTGAGAGTGAGCAATTGGAAATTCTCAAGTGGTTCCATGAGAAGGCATGCCCTTGGATGATGTAGATGTATGTGGTGACACTGCTTTTCATGGCCTCTTCAGTATTCTCGAATGGGCACACCAGAACGGATATCCTTGGGATAGCCAAGCTTGCATTAATGCTGCAATTGGGGGCCATTTGCACATTCTCAAGTGGTTAGGAGCGAATGGGTGTCCCTGGAATTACGAAACAACTGCTGAGGCTGCCAGCAAAGGACATTTTGATGTTCTCAAGTGGGCCTATGAGAACGGATGCCTTTTGGACCTTGATGCGTGCTTAGATCTTGTTCCCAGCGACCGTTTGGATATGCTCCAATGGTTGCGTGGGATTGACACATGAACCACCTTCACGAGACCTGGCTGTTGTGAAAGTACTTAGTCAAGTCACTTTACCTCGGCAGTCTTGCTGCCAGAGCCCTCAACCCCTTTAATTGTTTTTCCTGCTACGGCGGTCCCTGCAGGTATAAGGGTAGGGTTAGAATACAAATATGTCAGCAAAAACTAAATAAGTATCCTAGGATGGTGCTTTTAAACCAGCTAAAGCTATTTACATGCATCCTAGTAGGGGGATCTGCTCCTACCAGGAAAAACTCTAAAGCTAGCGAAAGCTATATAACTAATATTCTAGCTAGCTAGGGGTATCTGCTTCTAGCTTCCTACGGGAATCTGCTTCTAGCTAGGGGGGATCTGCTTCTACCTAGCTAAGCGCAAGTTAAGCACTAGCTAGCTAAGCACTACAGGTATCTGCTTCTAGCTAGCTAGCTATATGGGTATCTGCTTCTACACTGAAACCTTTCTGCCGAGGTTACACAGCTCCGCTGGCTTATTGCTAAAATTGTACCATAGCTAGCATTGTTTGTGGGTGTAGCGAATTCAACTTTTCATCATCCTGAAGTGCTCGCGACCATCTCGCTCCAGCAATGTCAAACACGTGTTTCGAGCTATGGCGAAGAGAATCCTCCTTCCTTCAAGAATCGTTCCAGCATATTCACTCCAAAGTTTAGTTCACTGGTGTGCCACTGTGTATCTATCAGTACCAGCAGCAACCTTTTGGAAAATGGCTAGTGAACTGCTAGCCAGTACATCTTAGTCTTTCGCAGCTTCCAAAACAACAATTGTATGAAATATTCCGTACTGGTTCAACGCAAAATGATGTACTACTTTTTCGTTGCTTTCCGGAAGACCTGCGGTCTCTTCACTCCGCACCAAATGCTGGGGCACCCACGGATTGATCATTCCCTTCAAAATCTGGCTTCCAAAGTTTTTCTACTCACTGTCCCTACCTGGTACAGTACACATACGATGCATGCTTGTATCTGTTGTGTCCGCCAACTACATGAGCTGTACAGGTCGTCTTCATTGTTCATTTTCCCGAATGCTGGGCCATGGGATGGGGTACCGGTATGCATGCAAGGTTCACAGAATGCAAGGACGCTTCGATCGTTGGCTTGGAATGTCTCCACATCAATCGAGTCGGCTGACGAACTCGTCAATGGCGCCATCTTGGTTTTAAAAACGAAGCCAGTGTTTAGCTTGACGCACCACTTCTTCCCGAGTCTCATCTTCTGTGGCCTCCTTCTCGAGACGCTCGAGTACTTCCATGACCGCATAGCCTCGGTTGTTGGTGTTCCTAGATTCTGGTCTAGACGAGCAAGACCAGCAGAGTCCGTCTCTGTCTCGAGCCCACCGCCGAAGTGAACGGTTGTTTTGTTTTTTAAGTTCACTTTTGCAGTCTTTGCACAATATGTCCACTACTTTCCTATCTTCAGGCTGAATCTTTTCGAGCACACCGAGGCATCCCCAGGCTGCTGTGTGGAGATCTTATTTGAAAGCCTTGACGCTAACGTCCCCGTTGATCAGATTCTAACGCAAATGCTTCACACCTTCCGAAACGCCACTGTCCGCGTCGCACGCTCGAAAGCAGTCCTATCTCCTGAGAGTAGTGACGCCAAGTCAAGATCTCCATAATCCGTTTCAGAGGAGGTGACATATCCGCGGTAGTTGTATCTGTCAATTAGAAGGGATGTCACAGGTTAGTTAAAAGCTTGCAAAACGAGATCAAAATAATATGAGCGCTTTACCTGTGAGCCAGGTGGTTTTGCCTCGAAAACTGGTACCGGAACCGGAGCAGCTTCGTTGTCCTCGACAGAATGTACAGCCGAGCTGGAATTAGTCTTGTCGGCTGATTCGTCTGCCAGAAGGAGTGCTGCAGCATTACCAAGGGTCGCAAAACCCCATGTATCTGGCGCTCGAGCAGCTACCGGAACTGCAACAGCACCATGATCAAAACCATCAGTGTTGGCTGGCATTCGCCCGACGGGGCAGGTGTTCCTATCACTGATTTGAACGAGCGCAAGGTAAATTTTGGCCGCATAAAGCGTCTGATGGGCTCTCCAATGTGCTCATCCAGGGTGTCAAAATCGTGGGAACATGAGACAAACATACCTTTGACCTGTACTATTAATTAATAGCTAGTACGGATGTGAAGCTCCCTGCGCTCCCATCGCTACTGACAAAGTTCTGAGCAATCTAGCTAGTGGCGATGGACGTCGAGTGGCAGTCATGTAGGTACGCACGCACCAAGGCTATACGTACCTCGACTGCATGTACGGTACCGTACCGTATGTTGTGAATGCAATCCGGTTGACCCCAACGGTGCGATCGACGTCCCTCGTTGGACTTTGTTCAACGTTCCACGCCACGGTGTGTGGGTGTGGAGATTGCAATTGAAACCTCCATCCCTTGTGTGAAAAGCCTACACCCTTCTTTCCTTTTTTCTCCGGATCTCCGGATCGATCCACCCTTTGGCCACCATGGATCAGATTCACCATCCCGTAACAGCTGGATGGTCTAACCAGTAAATCCAGATTTATTGGCTGGTCACTCGTGTAAGGAAAGCATTAAATAATATGAAACATACCAATGACTCGAAGAACCAGTAGTGACAGTTTGGTGACGCACTATTAATCCTTGGTGGCCTTGGTGCTTATTATGGTCGATAACATGTCGTGTGCAAGCAGTCTTCTCTACAGAGGGTTTACGTGTGGTTTAGTACTGGGTGGTAAACGGCATTCGGAATGACCATCTGTTCGTGCTTTCTTACAGCCTTTCTGATTAAGGGCAGGACTGTCCAAGCTTGGTCGCCTTGTCTTCTTCTCCTTCTTCTTCGACAAAACCTCTCAACAACCATCTGTCTTTCGTTTCCAAGAGCTCTCCAAGGAAGGCTTCCTGTTGTCGATCATCAAGTCCATCACAACAGTAACCATCCACAAGAGCAAGAGCAACAACACTAGCTAGACTGTTGTATCATCACCATGTCGTCTTCTTCAGTTGCCTCTGCCAGTGTGAGCAGCCGCAACGCGACAAGTCCAACTTCCACGCCAAGCAGTAGTAGCAGCGCTACAAGCAGTACTAGCGTGGACGCAGAAACGGCTCATTTTCTGCACTTGTATCAAGACTTGACTTCCAACGTTTTTGACGATTCTACTGACTCTGGCAAACCGATCATTCTCTCGTCGTTGCATCGCTTGGACGAACTTCTCCACGACACTAACGCTTCCGCCAGGGAGCGATTGATGCCCGGAGTCAACGCCGACACCGTTGCCACCATTCCGGAAGGAAAACAATTCCTAAGATGTCATTTGGCAGCTCTGCTGGATTTCAGTCACGGAGACAACGTGCCCTACAAACACGCTTTTGAAGCTGCGGCTGCCATAGCATTGGCTGTGCATCATCTCAATGAAGGTAAGTCACTACACACTTACGTATACTTAGCTATGTACTAGCTATGTACTAGCTATGCTTGTATATTCACACTAGCTAACTCTTACCTACGTTACTCTATGTTACCTACGTTATTGACACAGGCGTGGGCTGGATCGTCCCGGAAGTCACGGGATTACATCAACGATGTCCCATCCGTTTCACGGCCGAGTTTGCTGACACCGAGTACGATCAAGGCGTCGCACTCAAGCACGTTATTGACATGACCGACCGGGACAAACACAAACCTTGCGCATTCATTGGTGCTCCGTCCTCCGATATCTCCATTCCCACCGCCATTGTCACGTCCATTCGAGGATACCCTCAAATATCCTCACAATCGACGTCCGAACAACTCGATGACAATGCACAGTTCCCACTCTTTGGGCGCACAGTACCCTCCGATGTCGACAATGCCGTTCCCATTGTCAAGTGGTTTCGCGACAAACTCGGAGCCACACATCTTGCTGTCGTCCATGTCAATAACGGATACGGAAATGCCTTTGCCGACGATCTCAAATTGGCCGCACAAGCACATGCACCCGATCTCAAAATTGAAAAACTGGAACTCTCCGAACATCCCAATCAAGAACTCATACAAGATACCATACGAAACATTGAACGCACCAAATTCAGTTACATCTTTGCCGCACTCAACGATGCCGTCATTGACTCGGTCATGCTAGAAGCCTATCGACAGGGCGTTGCCGGGAATGGGATTCACAATTGGTTCTTCTCCAACACTTTTGGCGACATTGACGATCGATTCTTTGAACCAGGATCACCCCTTCATTTGGCATATCGGGGGGTGGGACGACTCCAAGTCTCGGGAGGACATCAGGGAATGAGATCGTTCGATACGTTTGCCTGCAATCTACGGACGCTACGAAGCAGTCCTCCCGATTTGGATTATCTCGCGTCGCTGCTCCCGCAAAAGGAATACATGCAAAAGAACACGGAAGAATACATTACACTCGACACCGTTACCGCCAACAATGGACTCAATATGCAACGACATTCTCATCGAATGCCGTACATATACGAAGATGATTTCATGGATCCGGTCCCCAAAATGGCCGATCGGACCTCACCGGCCTACGAAGCCGCCATTGCACTCGGATTGTCTGCCTGTGACGTCGTTGCCAATGGATTGCCACTCACGGGGAAACACCATTTTGAACAATTCACCAAAACGGAATTCATGGGAGTCGAATCACAGGTCAAATTCGCACACGAAACGGGAACCAGAGATCCCGACACGACACTCTTTGCCGTCGAAAATGAAGTGGAAGAAATGGTTCGAATGAACGTCAAGGTGGATGCCAATGGGACTACGGAATGGCGAGAGCTGGTCCAGTTTCATGCCGTCGTCACGGATGTATACAGTCATGGGGAATGGGAACATCTCGAAGACTACGTCTTTAGTGATTTATCGACCAACATTCAATCCGACTTGACACCACCGCCTCCCGTCGAACATCACTACGTTGATACACCTCTCAAGATTGTCGCCGGATTCATGTTTGCGTTCATCCTCCTTTTAGCCATTCGCTGTGCCTGGTGGACCGAAAAGAACAAAACCACGCGAGTAGTGCGGGCATCGCAACCCTTGTTCTTGCGAGTTATTATTGCCGGGATTGTCATCTTTGCCAGTGCCATTATCCCCATGAACATTGACGATCGAATCGCATCGCATGAGGGATGTACCATTGCGTGCAATTTCTTTTATTGGCTCATGTTCCTAGGATTCTCCATCATGTTCTCGGGACTCTTTACCAAAATCTACCGTGTCAATCAGATTCTCAACAATCCCGTCAAGTTCCGTCGTGTCAAAGTGACCGTCAGGGATGTCATCAAACCCATGGCAGCTATTATTGGAGGTAAGTTCGTTTGTTTGTTTGTTTGTTTGTTCAGCTGACACGTTTGCTCGGCAACATGAGGGAAATTCGACGATTGCTCATCCTCGCCTCACAACTGCGCTTTCTCCGTATGGGAACATGTAGTCAACCTAATTCTTCTCATTGTCATGACAAGCGTCGCTCCTTCGGAATGGGAAATTGTCGTGGCCGAAACAGATCAACACGGACGGCCCACGGAAACCTACGGACACTGTACGACGAAACACCAAATCCCATACTACACAACGCTGGGAATCGTCAACTTTTCGGCTCTGGTGTTCTCCATCCAGCAAGCCTACAATACTCGAAAGCTGGCCACGGAATTCTCCGAAAGTCGATACATCTTCTACGCCATGATTGGTATTCTCGTGGCACTGTTCCAGGGAATCCCAGTACTCATCCTTGTCCGAGACAGTCCTACCGTCCAGAACTTTATCAAGTGTACCGTCATTTTTGTCACCTGCTGCTCGGTACTGCTCTTCATGTTTGTGCCCAAGATGAAATACCTAGTCAAAATCAGCAAGAAGACTAGAAGTCAAAGGATGGACTTGTCGGTCAAGGTCTCGGGATTGCAAATGGATGCTTCCAATTCCAATACCCACAACCAATCTGCCGACCACCTCAATGGTTCTGCAAACTTTTCAAAACTTCGACAAAAGTACGAAAATGGAAATGGAGGTATTGCGATATCCGGATTGAGCAACCTCAGTGGGCTCAGTGGAGCCTCTTCTGCGAGCGGTGATGGCAGTAGTGAGGAAGAAGGCGTTCGATTCACGACAATGACACATACCGAACTTAAAGAAGAGAACGACAAGCTGCGCAAGAAACTCAAGATCCTGAACTGCGATGTGGGTACGTTGGGCACCACTAGCTCGGTATCTGAGGACAGCGCCGCCGGTTCCAGTGGGATGAGGATCATTGCACGCAAGTCACCGGGCGAATTAATGGCGGAGAACAAAAAGCTCAAGAAGACGCTCAAGAAGGCCGTCAAGAACCATGTTGTCCGGTCTGCCGCGGCGAGAGCAACGATTAACGAAGCAGACAACGAATCGCAAAGCGAAGGTGATGGCTTTGCTCACGAGACGTATCCTGACAAGCAGGTATCCTTCAAGCTTCCCTCGCTTCGGAAGATGCCCAATGGCGATGACAGCATGGTCATCAACCACGGGAAATCGAATGATAAAGGCAACAACGACAACGTGGATGGTTTCATTGGTGACATTGAATCGGGGGCAGATCCAAAATTAGCTGTCGATGCCGCTATGGACATTGTTGCCGACGCTGCTGGTGTAGTAGAAGAGTTCGATGACGAAGATGATGACGACGACGACTATGCGTCCATGGATGTCAGCCATGGTGAGAATGCCACTGACTCTACCAAGGAGAGTTCCACCGAGGAGAAGAACGAAACCGTACCAGCCAACATCGAGGAGGTCAAGGAAGGCAAATCCATCTTTGAAGTTTTCAACACTCGTCGAAAGGACCGGGAAGCCTCCCCGCCTCCCCCTCAAAGAGCGCCATCGTCAACTGAACTCCATTTCTCGGCAACTGATCGTGCCAACATCGAGGACCCAGCATCTGTTTTGTAAGATGCATCTCTTTTCGTTTCGTGATGGCCGGGCACAAACTAGGGGCGGCCAGGGACGTTTTCAGAAGAGATCCATCGGTCAAGGGGGTCATCGTCGTAGGGGGCGAACAGATGATGATTCCATGGCCGGGCAACGTCAGTGCCGGTAGCAGGGACCACAAGTCCCCTTGTATTTCTATTCTAAATTAGAAAGTTGTATCATTTACTGTACATATTTCCAGTCGACTACTCGATCGTTTTGTTTGTGATGCGGTCGGAGGTACCGGAAGCAGCAGGGACAACCGACCACGTCCTTGAAAGCACGCTCAATGGAAAGAACGTGAAACATCCCTTGACACGTTCTGTCCCATTACGACCTCACAACAATAGTGTGGCAAAGGATGAAGGCTTTGTCGATAATACCGAGAGAATGAAGAGCCGAATATTGAGAATCGAAAAGCTAGTTTTCAAATTGAGCCACACTCCAGCAATGGTACATGTACCCGAAAAGGTCGGCGACGACGTACGGGTATGGCGGAACGAAGCGGCTGGGATCAAAGCCTATCTCAGGAACCCCCGTGCATGCACGGTACGGTATAGTTCTTATACCCGAGCTACCGGTAGTAGTAGGTCTTCAACGTACCGATACGTAACCTTGATGGGAAAAATCGTTTTGACGCCATTGCCAGACGGACGAAACCTTGATCAGCAGTGCGTCAATTGGTTGCCAATTTCATGCAGTCGAAGTGTGATGACAACATGCTACTAGTACGTAGCTAGCTGCTAGCTAGTTACTGCATTTGGCACCCAACCCATCCGGTTTGCATTTCCCCCAACAGGATGATTCGATGCCAATATTCTCTTGCAACCAGTCTCCCAGTTCTGGCGATGACAACGTCAAGTTTTTGGGTTCTAGATATCTCATTCCGGGATGCTTCTTTGCAAATTGTCGAATTCGTTGTGTCGTATCATCGTAAAACTGTCGAAAGTCTTCTGTTTGAATGGTGGCATTGACATCCTTGTTGGGAAAGAAATCGTTTCGACACGTTTGTTTCCATCGATCAAACATTTTGCCCCATTTCTTAGCATTGCCCCACTTTTTGGCACTATTGTACCACGAGTCTGTTTCTCTTCGAATGAGCAAAAAGGTAGCATTGGGATAGCTCTGGTAGAGTGGTTTCAATCCCTGCACGGCAGGAAAGAAGCATTCGGTGGGAGTGGTATACCCAAAATCGAGCCAAACATCAAAATTTCCACAGCGATGCAAGGGCAGTTGATTATTTTGTTGCTGAATGTTGTAATGCACACAAGGTCCAATATTTTTTCCCTTGGTCCACCAATGGACGGCCCGATCAGGACCGAGTCCACATTCAAAGTACTGCCAAAGCGTGGTAGTTCCGGATTTGGGTAGATTCAGAACAAAAATGGGAAATGGAACTTTCAGTTCTTGCTTTTTACTGAAAGTAGTTGGTGGGATTATCTCTCCTTCTTTTTGAATATAAGGGTCTCGTTGTTTCCATCCATTCTGTCTTTGCTGGGCCCATCTGTCTTCTTGTTCTGGTTTTGCCTTTTCCTTTGTCTTTGTCTTTGTCTTTTCTTGATTTTGCAACTTTTTGTCTTTTTGCCTATTCTTCTTTTCTCTTGCTTTTACTGATTTTTCTTTTTTTACTTGTTTATCTTGTGGTTGAACTTGTGGTTGCTTGGTCTGAACATCCCCTTGAATGATTGGCATTCCCACGGCACTAGTACTAGTAGAAGCACTAGAAGAAGAACTAGAACTTCTGATATAGAGCCCACTGGAGACTATAGCTATTATACCCAGCACTAATACTCCAGCAAGGCGAAGTAGCTGCTTGGTACTACTAGTACTAGCATTGCCATTGCTTATCTCTTTGTTGTTGTTGCTGATGCTCATCTTGCTTTTCTCTTGAATTTATAAATAAGAGTTTGCTCTTCTTTCAAGTTTCAATGGTTTGCAAGGTTTTGGCTGAGCAGAAAATCTAACGGCACCGGTCGCCATGCAGGATCTTTGTTGTCGATGTTCAAAAGATCTATGATAGTACCAGTTATGATGTCATGATTGTACCGGATTGAAGATTCAACAAATCTTGGGCTCCACGCATGACCATAATTAGAAGCCAGGTAAGCGGCTTACTACCAAGTATGCATACTTGTCGATGTAGCATTTTTGAGGAAGTCTAAGTCTCAACCCACAGAACAATAGGTGGCTTTGTTAGAGTGCTAGCTAGCTAGAACTAGAGCTTGGATGCACAAGTACTAGTAGCCAAAGCCGTAGCTTGTCACGCTAAAACCACATTGAATAGCTCATTGAATATTGCAGCCTTTCGCTACTGGCACGAAAGTTATTTCAAATACCGAAAACTGTCACAGCCAGTTGGACTCTGGCTGGCAACCCAATTGCCACAAACAAAGGAGCCGGCAACCGAAGCAGCAGCTTGGCTACCTCTTCTCTCGGCAGGGTACTAGCTAGTAGAAGATACAATTCGAGGCGGGGAGAACAGGCGAGAACAATGCAAAGGAAGTGAGCTGGTATTAGGAGCTAGTAAGAGGAGATACTAGCTAGTAGTCTAGCTAAGTGATGACAGGATACAGGATTCATACAGCTTGCGACGACAACCAGAGAGCCTACGTGCCTACCGGTACAATCTGACAATGCAGCCCGAAAAAATAACGAAGGAGCACACAGGAAGCCGGCTCCCTAAATCCTCTACTCCAGTGCATGCCTGCTGCTCGTCGGCGGCAACCGTCACCAACGACTCACCATGTCTTAGTCGATGAGCTCTTGATGAAAGAGCGGTGAAAACTTGAAAACTTGATAAAAGTTCAATCATCACGGGTTGGCAACTGTAGGTTTTCGGTAGCTATTTTGCTACAGTTAAGTTGCTGGTGGATACATACATGAAGTAAGTATCGCAACTCGCAGTATGTATCGCAACTCGCACTCTGCAATCTGGTATCCAAGTCTCAAAAAGGAGCTTCGAGAATCTGGTTGCTTGCTCACAATAGAGGACGAATCATAAAACCGACTTGCTTCTAGCTAGGACCTCAACTTGAACTCTGTAGCTACATCCCAACCAGTCTCTGCCAAGATGATCCCTACTATGATTCTTATCCCCCATGGTGCTGCCTATTCTCATGTGACTATGCATACCGGCAGGGACCACAACCATAAGCAACAGCGACCGCAACAGCCACAGCAACGGCCAGAGGATGTCTCCACTACTCGATGGCAGTGCCAAGACAAGAAGCCTCAGAGGACTTCTGTTTCTTCCCACGATGATTCCATGCATCGAGGATCAGTGCTAGTGGTACCGGTACCTGCCCTAGAAGAAAAATGCACCATGCCACTTCCCCAACATCCAATCATGGTACCATGTATCGCTGCTGGTATGGACAACAGTATGAGCGACTCCAATCCTCGCCGCCCTCACCGCAGAGGCAGCTACGCTCCCACTTCGCGATGGTCTTCGGCTGCCTAGTAACAAGCACTCCCTCATCTGCACAGCAGCCATTGTCTCAAACGCGGAAACCACGAACCTCAAACTACGATGAAACTAGTGAACAGCCATAAATCTTAGTTAGACACAAAAGGTACAAACCAAGCAGTATACATGTTGCCTTCCTCTTCCCCCTGCCTGTCAAAATACTTCAGCTTGTTGCTGGTACTGTGATACAACTCGGCGTAGGATAGGCTTGCTTAGTATGACTTTGTACCTACCGGTACAACCAAGTGCACATCCAAAGCCACCCCAGGTTTTGTTCCCATTACCCCTTCCTGCAGCAACGCAGCCTCAAGCAAGCTGTACGTTGGGGCAAGCAAGAAGCAAGAACTCCGATCGGTACAGGTAGAAGTAGCAATACTACTCTTGTGAAAAGGCTCCAAACCACCCGTTTCCATGTTGCCAAAGAGAGGTTCGGATATACTGTGCCGACTCAAAACCTCAAGCCTTGCCCCCCCCCCCCATCGAATCCTTTTCAACTCCACCCACTACACTCATGTGGCTGGATTCCTGTACGTTGCTTGGCTGCCTGCTAGTACGAAGCAAGTTCCTGTGCTTCTTGCTTGGCTCCTCTGTGTATTTGGCGCCTGCTACAGGGACAATCAAGAAGCCACTTGACTGGGCATGTTTGGCATGAACCCGCGGACAGAAGGCAAAAAAGCAATCGAAGTTTCGCCCATTCCAGGATTGCAACTTTGTCTCGTTCTGAGCTGGGCTCCAGAGGCTTGGCTTGCTGCATGGTAAATGCTCCAATGATGGGTACAATTTCCTGCTGGAAGCAGCCGCCCACAGGATTTAGCCTCTGCCAAGCTTACACATGGACGAAAAGTGCGAACGTAGAGCAACTTGGACCGGCTGTCCCTTGCCAAATCTACAAATCGGCGAGTGAAGCCAACGCTTCATCATGAACTTGGACAACGTTTCCCACCATAGTATACTTGAATCAGGGAAGTTTCTGCTTTGCTAGTCGACGTTGCATGGCTGAAACAACTACACATAAAGGACCCTAGGCCGAGCTGGCTGCTAGCTGTATGCATCAACTTCCTCCTTCCTTCCTTCCTTTCTTTCTGCCAGGCTGCATGCCAATATGGAAGTCGTCTTTTGCTCGCTCGACCCAGAGTTACTCGGAGGCCATGATGACGACGATGATGAATAACTGTTTACTTACGCAGTCATTCAAGTACGAAGTTGGGATGTACAGGGCGACCCATGGCTTGCACAGTGACGAAGCCGCAAGCGACGACATACAGGTCGTACGACGACCTAAAAGCAACTTATTGTCATCTCTTTCCCCTTGAAGTGGACTTGACGAATCGACGTTCTTCCCTCAAACCAGAGAGGACTCAGAGTCACTCCGAGCTGTGCCTTGTGCAACAGCAGCACTCCGTACTTTACCCACCGTACCGGTACTCGGTGGCCTTTGCAAGGAAAGGACTCGACTCAGCAATGACCGATTCCAGTACTTGCCGTGCGAGGAGTAACCAACGAACTTGAAGAGCTCTTGAAGTCGACCTGGAAGGGTGCCCAGTGGCGAACCAGCACAAGCGGGGGTAGTTTTACATCGCTCAGTGGTTTAGCCGTCGTTTGCCTTGAGATCGATTGAACATTGTCACTGCACTCTTGACGTGAACATCGTTCCCTTTCCCTTTGAACTTTCCTTTGTAGTTTTGGAGGTGTGTTTTGAAAAAATATTAATGACACTCCAGTCCTCAGGCCTACTCACTACTCAGTAGCGACCCAGCTTTATGAGCTCTTTATGTCAAGACATGATGTTCTTGTTGAAGCTTGGTTGCCATCCACGAGTACAACGTTCTCTGTTTGGCCAGTATCGTGGCTGGCCGCGAGCCAATTACCTATAAGGAAACATGCAAGGAAACAGCAACCGAATCCAAGGGTTTGGAGTCATGCCAGTAGCTGTAATCTTGCTCTCTGCGTGGCTTCGTACTGGGTACTGGTGAAGCTATGCAACTTGGAAGCCTAATCGTTGATTGCGATTGGAACCACTAAAAACTATGATATAACTGTTGTTGGTGTGACCAAGAATTGGATAGCAGGCTACGATGTGACGATTGGTAGAATTTGTACTGGAGTCTACTAGGTCGCCAGAAAAACCTGCCAGGACTTGAGCGGTTCAACCCAACCAAGCTGGCTTATCGTGAGACCAGGTGGATCGCTGTGGATGACAAAACTATGCATAGAGCTAGCTAGCTACCTGGTAGAAGCTGTGCTACAGTGCTACACTACTAGTGCGTGCGACCTACTGTACGATGTACCATTGTACTCCTCTACTCTGGACTCTACTACTAGCTAGCTAGCTAGCTAGCTGGCTAGACTAATAGCAAATAGCTACTGAGTACTAATTATTATTGCGTACTCATCAGGAATGATAAATCCAACTGGGACAAAAAGGTGAACTCGATGATTGACCCAGTAGCGAAGAGAAGGAGAAGGCTTCGTCAAATTCTTTGTAAGATGAACCTTCAGAGCGTAACCGGCACTGATACCCCGAAGGCGAATGAAACAGCCAAAAGTCACAAAGTCATCGTAAGTGACAAAGGACAAAGGCCAAAGAGCTCATCAAGTAAGCTGAAGTACGTAGATCTAGCAGTATCTAGCTATGGTACCTGGTACGTCACATGCTCAGCAACGACCTGGTTGCCAGTGATGACCTTGCAATAAACAGAGAAAGAAGGCTACCTGGTATGTACTCGAGTATCTGGATATTAGTGTTACACTCTCCATGGAAACCGGTACTGCAGATCACGCATGATGAACTGTTCTCTTTCTATTCTGGAGCCTATTCCTGTACCAGCTACTGTACTAGTAATAGAATTGGGTCACTTGCAAAGGAGAAGTTCAGTACATTCGTGGGAGCTCTCGTGGCACTGAGCCAACGACGCGCTGTTCTGATGATGCGCTGATGAAGCGCTGGCATGATGGCAGCCGCTCAGTGGGATGAGCTGTCGAGCTGCTGTCGGCAGTGATGAGTTTTGAGTTTCTTTCCTTTTTGAAGTTGGAGGGTAAAAAAGCCTAGACTGTGTGGTTTTGTGTAGGTATGAACTATTGAAGTTGGCATACAGTGTTCACCAATCAAGCAATGTTCGAAGTGAAGATTCGGATTCGATCCCAAGGCATCATCAGATCCTGCTGGGGCTGCCTTTGTGCAGGTCTCACAATTTCGATTCGAGGAAAACATCAAACGCAACGATACCTTAGCTAGCTAGCACCATGATCCCCACCATGATTCTCATCCCCTGCGACGCAGCTTCTTCTCATGTGACAACTGTCAAGAGCCACCGCCAACAGCATTATGAAAGCCGCTACGAGGAGCCCCAAAGAACGAAGGCAACGTTGGCACTTCCTGGACCTCCCATTATGGAACCCAAGTTGGCACAATCCAAGCGACGAGGAAGCAACGACTTTTTGCCGCGCTGCCCAAGTCGTCAGGTCAGCCAACTCCCTTCACGATGGGCTTCTGAACAATAACTTTCTTTCTCGAAGCAAGAGAAAGCAAGAGGCATCTCCCTCCTTTATCATTACCTTCTGTACACTACTCAATCATAACCCAAACCAATTTAGAATGCAACTTTACACTCAATCAAGCAATCTCTACTACCTAGACGTTAGACTAGCTAGTTCCTCGTTTCTTAGCTTTACCAAAAATTTCCAATACTAGGGCTAACTGCACAAAGCTGAATGGTCGGCCCTGTGGCTGGCTCCATTCTGCCTTTACGCCGATGGCTGCCAGCCAACCGGAATCGAATCCCAAAAGACTGCCACTCCAAGATCGGGGGGGGGGGGCTGCCGAGCAAGCCCATGGACGAGGAAGGCAACTCCTAAAAACCAAAAACCAGGCCAACCTGCTGTAGCTGCGCGGTACCGTAGCTGCACCTGAAGACGAAGCGACCCAATACACAATACACTGCCACTGAACATCTATCTACAATAAGAAGCAACCTATAACATCAATAACAGTATTGAAAGCAAGAACAGCATGATCTGATTACTGCAGATGCCAAGATCATGGCTGATACCGTTCTACCAAGAAACTTTAATCTCTAGAGGCCTATACAAGAGTCGAGGCCCTCCTCGCCCAAGATCGTGGCTAGTTCAGTAGGGAATCGAATCGATCGCTGATCCATGAAGGCGTTGTACTGTACAAACAGGCCATCATAAACTTCGATTCTCTTGCTACAAGATGTCATGTAGCTGGAGGGAATGCCCCAGGTCGTAGTTGCACAAGGGGGAGAAAAAGCACCAGCCATCAAGACATACACCAAAACTGAAGCTACACTGCTGGCAGATACTGCTTCTTTGGTGTGGGGAGTATGAAAGACGACGGTCAAGTACTGTTGGCAGGCACTGGCTTCTCTACGGATATGTCCGAGGTCATACTTGGTCAAAGAGGGCATCAGAAATAAAGACTAGCTAGACTGCTAACATTGAAAACGAGATGCTAGCTAGTACCGGTACATGTAGTTGATAGCCGAGGCTCTAGCTAGCTGCGCGGCTATCAGCACTCTCTGCTCTGTGGTGAAGACGGAGCGCTGCTGAGTGAGGACTGCTATCCTATCCACCCTGTCCCCGACTTTCTTGATGGAAGCATTCGTTTCTTCAGGCAGGATCGGAGAGATCTGTCTGCCAGTATCCGAATGTCCGAAAATAATAATAGTGTCTCAGATCTCAGATCTTTGGAACGACTCGACTCCCGGACCTTGAAGTTTGGAAGGTAAAAGCCTAGACTGTGCTGTTTGAAGTACAACCGTGAACATGGTTGAACTAAGAGAAAGGCCCCTTGTTCTTTGGTGTTTCTTATCCACCTGTCCAGGTGTTTCAGTGGTTCAAAACATGTTCGCATCAGCCTCGCAATCAATCCCGTGGGTCGCCTTTCTTCGTTTGAGTGGCGAAAATAGTATTGGTCGAACTTTGGTAGTCAAAACAGTGGGTGACTACCAGCGGGCAGCAGATGATGATAATGATGATGATGAGGGAGACCAAGAAAATATGTTCCAGGTTAGCTCACAATTTTTTGCTCTCAGAGACAAAAACAACAGCAACAAACCAACATCCCTAGCTAGCTAGCTACTACTACTACTAGTAACAAGATGATCCCCACAATGATTCTCATCCCCTGCGATTCCTGCTCTTCGCATGTGACCACACTCAAAAGCCAACAGTGCAACCAGCAACCAGAAGACTGCCGCAATGCTCGGTGGGAATGCCAAGACACAACCGAGAATGTGCCTGCTTGCCCCATGCGCAGAGGCTCTATGCTTCCTCCCATGAAAAAGCCCACCATGGAGGCTCCATTGTCACTCCCCGGACCTCCCATTACGGAATTGGTGCGATCCTCCAGTACCGGAAGCTACGACTCTTTGCCTCGCCGCCCCCTTCGCCAAGGCAGCTACCGTTCCAAGTCGCGATGGTCTTCGGCTATCTAGTCTAATGCATCAAAGATGCAAGCAAGAATGGCTATGTGAAGCTATATGTAAATACACTACCTCCAAATCAAATCAAATCAAATCATAACTTAGAACAACCAATTAGAATTCAATCATTCAATAGCTATCAGTCATCAGTCTACTAGCTAGCTATCTTGGCTTTTAAAAGTCATCTTGTATCTTGTAGTAGTTCAGTTGACTGCCTCGAATCGAATCGGCCCAGGACTGCGCAAGTGCTTCTAAAGGAAGAGTGGCAGCAAGCTTGGCTGCTCGTCAGAGCTCAGCATCAATACGGTAGTCTACCGTAGAATGTACTAGTATTCCACCAAGCCAATCAGTCGCCCTACTACGGCACTGTCCGCTCTATCTTTTAGCCAGGTGAATGAATGGATGGATAGAAAGGCTCCAGCAAGTTTTTGTTTCAAAAGGAATTGCGGTCGGCAGACAGCCCCACCCTCCGTAAGCTCTCGCTTCTATCCGCTCAGCAGCTTTATCCAAGACTACAACGAGCAGTCCAGGTCCAACAATCACTACCAGGTACAACTACTAGTACCCCTCGATGCATGGCTGAGGGCTCTTTAGTTGGAGTACGGTACTGTACTGGTAGCAACCGAGAAACTATTAATAAGTCTCTTTGCAACAAGTACAGTACTAGTACATTTTTGGAAGGAGCGAGCCATAGCAATAGTACTACACCTGTCCCCTTGGACCCGAAATCCTGCTTACAAAGCTAAAGAATCGTCCTCCAGCCGAGAAAACCCAAAGACTGCTCATCCGGTCCAGCTACCAATGGCTATCAATGGCTACCAATGGCTACCAATGGCAAGCTTACTTGGCTGGAGGCGGACGTGGTTGTGGTTGTGGACTAGCTATAGCATACATGCAGTATGGATCAGACTGACGAGGGGATGAAGTACAAGTAGATGAAGTAAAGGTATTGGTTATTAGTGTTACAGATTCCATCTTTGGTCTTTGGATGATAATGATGAAAGTTGCTTGGAGGGAGGATAGGAGAGATGGAGCAATAGATTTAGTTAGATGCGAGGGCGTGTGGTTCGTGCCCGGAGCGCTTGGAACCATGCCAATGGGCGCTTGCCCTGGCTACTGCTGCGTGTGGTGCTACTAGTAAAGCTGGTAAGGATGGCAGTATGGCTCTTGTCTTGTGGTTGCTGTTGTTTGCGCGCTGCTTCGGCATCTTTGACCCCCATTTTGCGAGCTTTGACTCGATCGGCTTTGGAGTGCGCTTTGGCAACGTCACGCAAGTCTTCTAGATCGCAGTCTCCAAACTCGACTACTTGTGATCGGTATTCCTTAACCACGGCGCGGGTGTGCTTGAGAGCCTTTTCTTCGCGGCTGTATCCCTTTTGGTAGTTCTCCAGACCTCGCCAGGAGAGTTCAGACTCTTCTAGTTGTTTCTTGGGGCAAAGCTTGGCGCGAGTGATCTCTTGGCTGACTTTGATCTGAAGCTGTCGGCCGTTGTACCAAACTGCGGACTTGCAATCACTTGGAACGGATTCCACTGTGTGAGTGGTGGATTCTCCAAAGCTTACTTGCTTGCCAGCAGGATTACTGGAAGAGCTCATGCTTTTGTTGCTGGTGGGGGCTACTCGTACCATCTTGTTGGATTGTTGCTTGTTTGCCTCTGATCAGAATTGAAATTGTGAGATTACTTCTTCTCAACCTCATAGATTTCCTGCTTCACAACAAAGAGTACCTCGGTACCGATTCTCAAGGCCTGCTACTATGGGAAGCTAGGCGGCAACATTAATCATGTCAAATAAAGTGCATAGGGCACTTGAGGATGCGTAAACCGCTTTTGGCGGCAAGGACCTAACCAATGCGGCCCCGATAACAGATGCGTTCGCACGTTCAATAAATCATTGTTTTCCATCTTTTCGTCGTTGTGCACGATAGGCTCTACTGAATCACTATAGATGATCGGGGTTTCGTGAGAATCTTGGCAAAGGATCGTGCCAACAGTGAATGCAAAATCAACTCCCACAGCTTCCCTGCACAGCTCCCAATATTTCAAAGCTGCACGGAGCCACACCAATCACAGTATTGGTAGCATCCAAACATGATGGTCGTAAGATCCAATTACATGTACCACGCTAAAGCATCCCAAAGCACTTTCGTCATCTGGAAGACAGCTTTGGATACCAGGTAGATGCGGTAATAAATAATCTTGATTAAAATATGCAGAGTAAACGTTATCCTTAACCCTATTTTTACCGCATCTACCCTTCTGGTACGAAACTTAACAGACACGGTCGTCCATACCCGTACCTACGAACAGTCCCACAGTTTCAGTCCCGGAGCACTAATGAGCGCTCATTAGTGCTCCATGGCGCACTAATGAGCGCTCGGAGCACTAATGAGCGCTCATTAGTGCTCCGAGCGCTCATTAGTGCTCCGGGACTAAACATCAACACCGTACCTGGTACCTGTACCAGTACTTCTGGCTTACTGTCCTAACCTCTACCTTACTGCAACGTATCTTGCCGTTTGAAATCGTTGTCGGAGAAACGACGACTTTCCAACAGACAACCAATGGTTTCTTCGTTTGATTTCGAGTTGGTCTTGTCAAAGCGCTTCGCTGAACGAAACAAGTCGCTTTTGCAACGACAGTCTAGACGAGGTTTCCTCTCATCTCATCTCATCTCACAGGAAGTAGAGCAAAAGGTCTTGGTCTGGATCCGAGGTACTGTAGCCCATTACGGTTTTGCGAACAGGTCATGCTGAGTAGCTCTCTTCTCTTCCCTCTGCTATCTCAGCCAGTGCTCGCTCTTGGACCGTTGGTTCGTTGGTTTCTTCCTTTCTTTGTCGGGTGAAAGGTGTGTTCAGTTCCGAAATAGCCGATTGAGGTTTCGCGAACTGTTCATGCCGAGTGGCATGGGTTGGCTGCATGGTGCGTCCTCGTGCAAGGTATCGTTGGCTTTTCTGTCTTTCAGCGCTTAATCGTTGCAAGCAATCTGTGGCGCCTCAAACCCTTGTCTCTTGCTCGTAGGGTATGTTGGCCGTTTTGACGATGGCCGTTGACAACGCGTTCGAGTGACAGTCCTATCATCCACAAAAGGTCAGTTCACATTCGTATCTTCGACTCTCGCCAATGGTGCCATTTTCGGTGCGCCTCCTTCGGGGGCCTAGTGGGAGAGGCAAATGGGCGGCCATTTCACGAGTCCGTTCTGTTGCCTCTCTGCCGGAAATGGTACCCAACAGTCTTTCACTTCTTCGTATGATACTAAATTGATCTTCTAACCTTCCTGCTTTCTTGTTCTCCTTTTGTGATTGACAATGGTGGGCTGTTCGTCGTTCGAGCTCGAGTCTCAAAGCGCTGGCGATTGAATCATTCGATTCGGACAGATTCGAAAACGGTTGCTTTCCTCAACAACGATCTGCTCAATGTTGGTCGGCAATGGCCGTTTGTGGGTTGGTTTGTCCTCTATCGTTGCCGTTCGTGTTCCACTCTCCAGTTGAGAGCTAGTGTAAAAGACATCAGCCACATGGCTCTAGCTAGATGTAGTATCGCTGGTTGCATTTCCCTCGTAGCTACTTCTATAAAGACTTTCGATGCGAAGAGAGACCTCAGATCCGCCGGACACTCAAATGCAACGAGAGCGAACACATCGGTCCTGTTAGACCGGAATTAAGGTAGCTCAAGCAAACTGACCACTTCCAGCTTGTTTTCCGTCTTCTTCACGCGCTTTCAGCCACCGTGCAAGCTAGCGCTCGGTATTATTTCTTGTCTTTGGGCTTTTCGGACTCCCGCAATCGTTTCCGAAGGTTCCCCATCTCGGCCTCTTTGCTCCACATGAACCTCCGAGCCTCTTTGAATTGATGCGATACATCCTCGATCTTTCTCTCCAATTGGCTCAGGTTCAGTCTCTCCCGTCGTCTTTGTTCGTCTTGTTCCACCTGAGCTTGGATGGCCCGGTGCTTACGATCTCGATAGTCCTTGTCCATAAAGTAAATGGGAAACGGCGGTAGCACTCCCTCCACACCTCCTAGTTCCCGTGCAAACATTTGGTGGTCCTCTTTTTGGTCGTCATCGGGGGCATCCGTTTGGTTTCGGACACACCGGACCATGAGTCTCAAATCAGCCGTGTGCAGATCCTCTAGTGGAGCCGTCATGGCGTCGGCACGAGGATGTCCAAACGTCAAATACTTGTTTCGTGTCACTTCAAAGTCGGCAAAGAAATTGTGCAAGTGAAACGCCGAGTAGCGTGTGTGATTAGGAGCGTTCATTTCATACATGCGTCCCCCACATGTCATGCGAAAGTCCGCGGCGTTGTACAAGGGAAATCGATCGCCCTGGAGGACCCTGTCGTCAAAATCCTCTTGGTTGCAACCACTAGCGTATCCCAGAGCCCGCCAGTAGCCATTGACCCGGGGGGCAATGGGATTGCGCGTCTCATTGCCAATCCCCTCAATGCAGGCACCAATGACCATGTCGGGATGAAACCAAGCTCGATCCTTGACGACGCACTCGGGCGATGTTTCAAAGACACGGGTGAATCCACTCATTTTGGTCTGTCGATTGTCGCAATGATGGCTCTTGTAGTCCAATGGTTTGACGTACGGACACTGTTGCACTGCGCGCAAAAAGTCTCGACTAAACGTCTCGTCGACATCTCCCAAGTATCCAATATCGTTGGGTGTCATGCCCATTTCTTTCCATCCGTGGAGAATTTCTTGTCGTTGGGCGTGCTCTCGTTCCAAATGCAGCAATTTGGAATCTTCATTGACGTATTGGCGAATCTGTAACTGGGATGTTCCAAAGAGCGCCTTTAACTTGTCGGCATGAGCATGGTCTCGTAGAAAGGGTCTTTGTGTGAATGTTTGTGTGCGATTGGATTCCACAAAGACGACTCCAGCAAAGACCTGATAGGCTTCGGTGGCTACGATATCTAGTAGTTCCCAGTTTTCATCGGCAATGAGACTGCCATAAAAGATTCTTCGTTGAGCTGCTGGTTGAGTGACGTTGGTATGGTTGTGATTGTAACTTTGGTTGTGCTTTTGAGTTGTGGAGGGTGGATGCATGGAAAAGCCATATCGCTGACAGCGTTCTTCCAAGTTGGCGTGGTCAATCTTATCTTGAAAGGCCTGGAAGAAGGACTGAGGTTTATGAGAGAGAATACCTCGAGCAATGCCACCGTCGTCTTCATCCTCTTGCTGTTTAGTGCTGGTGGAAGTTGAGGATGGACCTAGAACTCGTCCTGTCCAAGAAGCGGGTGGTTCCGTTGGCTGCTGCACATTATGAGTAGTAGTGGCATTGTGTTTGTTGTCTCGTCTTGTATGATCTGTGGCCAGAGCTCGTGTCACTGTGGACGAGGCTGTGTTCCGAAAGACATAGGTCTGGTGGCAAGCAAGGAGAAAGAGTGCGACAGTGCAACGCGCCATGGTCCTTTTGGATTGTTTGGTGGTAGTCATGATGATATTTAGCATGCTATATTAGTTTGCATGGACGGTTCGTTGGAAGCTTGCTATGCTAGCAATGCTGCTGAAAATAGAAGGTCGGATGAGAAGAAACTTTTGTGAGAATTTGGTTTCAGGTTTTGTTTGGAAGGGGCTTTGCAGGACTCGACTCGATGCCTGTCTGCATCCAAGCATGTCAGACAGCATGTAGACAGCTCGCTTCATGATTACTAGCTAGAGTCTAGTACTTGTTTAGTAGATACACTATGTACGCTTTGTCCCACTCTTGCAACGACACAAGGATCGTATCTGAGAGCTGAGTCTAGCTATCATAGGCATGGTGGTCGCGTTGTCACTTGGTTTGGTTGTCGTGGTTGCGTAGCGTGGATCCTTGCTTGGTTGGGTCGTCATGCTTGCTCCAGTCCCACCTCTGGTTCCAGTATTTGAAAGGGTTAAGGCTTTGATGTTCTGGTTCGACGTCATAAGATGACGTGTCACCTTCGGGTTCTGTTTGAAATGACTGGTTGTTCTTTTCTCGCGATCTTTTGGATCTTTTGTGTGGGTACACTGTATCGTGGGGAAGTCTACAGCAGTCTAGAGCCACCTGTTGCCTGTCACTGACGACAGCTGTTCTACAGGTAGGTGCGGTAACATTTTGTTTTGATACAATGATTTGGAGTTAAATACAGTCTTAACTCTAACATTACCTAGACTACCAATTTGGTTCTGTCTTCACCGTGGCGGCAGCTGGATGAGAATTGTTTTTGGGAGAAAGACACCATCATCATCTCATCATCGATCTCATAGTTTCCCACCTGCATTGACACACAAGAAGCTACTACCAATACTACCATTACTACTATTATAATAAGACATCTCTTGCTGCCACCATGATGATTCGATTTGTGTGCTTGTTGAGTTTGGCGGAAGCTTTTACTACGCAGTATGCTACCCCTGCTACCCACGCCATGAAGACCATTAAGCCCATTAAGACTACCCAGCTGTGGATGAGTACCACTGAGGATTTTTCTACGTCTACTTCTACTACTGATTCTACTACGAGCAATTTGAATGAAGACAAGTTTCTGTCGGACTTGAATACTATGGAAATGGAATTGCCGGGCATGTTGTCGTCGACGGCCCAAGACGATACCAGCCGTGATATCCAAGGCGAATCGATTTGGGATCGAGCCACTCTGCGTCTGAATGCCTTGGCCACCAAAGGAAGAGCTTTGCAGCAAAATTACGCCATTGAAATTTCGGAGCTCCAGCAAAAGACGCCTTGGCAAGACTTTCCCGAACGTGTCCCACTTTCCAATGCCGCTGTATGGAGAGAAGAAGGACAAGTTCCTGTAGAAGCCACTACTGGTGCTACCACAACCCAAGTTACTACCACTTCCGAGTCATCCACCGAAGGATCCGCTGGATGGGGTTTGGCCATGGTCGTGGGAGCTGCTGCTGCTTTTGCCGTGGTGCAGCCGGACACTGTCACCTCTCTATTGAATCAAGTCAATCTAGATGTGGATGTTGCCAGTCTCACTGCTGGAGTTTCCTCTGCTATTGAAGAAGCACAGCAAGCCATTCAGAATATTGATCTCAGTGTGGACATTGATATGGACATTGACATGAGTGCTCCCTTGCAAGCGGTTCAGACACAAGTTGAGGCCATACAGGTCGGTCTCGCAGCTCAAACGGATGCCATCAAGGTAAGCATTCAATACAAACAAGATCACTATTGATCAGTAGAGAAGAAAAAGGATGGATCTAACGTTATTTCTTGTGTGATTATTTTCGCTTTTCACAGGACGTCGTCGGTGAATATCCCACCATGGTCATGGCACAGTGGCAAGAATTTACTCAAAACTTGCAACAAGCCACGGCAACCGGTGTCGATGGAATCAAGGCCTTTCAAGAAACCGCCACTACCCAATTTGATTTGGCCGATTTGGAATTCCCAAGTCAGTAAAGTGGCTTCACTGGTGGAACGGATGGAATGGTATGGTATGGAGGATGATGACGATGACGATGACGACAACAAGAAAAAACCAAAGGAAATGACTGCTGGAAAAGTGAATGATATCCCGCTGGGACAATTGCGGAAAGATGCCACTACCACCATGGTCTTATACGAACGTGTGTTGGTGCGTGAGCACGGAAATAAAAAGGAACACGAAGTCTCCTGATGGGATTCATTCTGTGGCAGGCTCTTTGGTCTATCTGTCTAACTACACAACAAACTATACATATACTTTTCATATCGTGCTCTGTACAAAAGCACAACAAACACAGCTGTAGAACTACAAAACAAAAATACTAAAAGGAAAAAGTTATCAGCAAAAGGAACCACAACGTGAAGATATAATGTAGGCGTCGCGCTGGCGAGTAGGTAGAGGTGTCGGAAATGCACACAAGCTGACTATCGCACGTCCATGTACCGGTACGATACGATACGATAGGCATTTGTTCGAAGAGTATGTTTCGAGGAACCTTCAAGACACGGTTCTTCTCTCCAAGCTCAGTCAGCAAAAGCAGACGCTGCCCATCAACGGACCAATGCTCGTGTCAACCACAAACTCTCCTCAACTCAAATTTCTCCCGTTGCGGTATCTTTGAGTTCGTCTCTGTTTGCAGGGTTCTAGCTTTTGTTACGTGCGTCATTGTCTAGCGTTTTGTATTCTTTTTTGAAATCTAGTCTCTAGTTTAGTTGATCATCCGTACAGGGAAAAGTGTTGATTGCAATTTTAAAACTCACACCATTAGATACATGTCTCATTCCAAGTCGAATTGAAAAGTGACTACACCATCCATCACAAATGAGCTCAGAGGTCCACGAAAGACGGATACTGGAACACGATGTCCACGTCCGGAGGCTGGGTCCACAGAAGTGACATCATCCACAGTCAGCATGAAATAGTCATGTCCATCCTCATTATTGAGAATGGTATCCGTGGAGAGTCCAGGCATGGTGACTTGCATGGGGCCGGCATAGGCGCCATCCACTTGAATGGAAACGTCTACCGAGTGGGGCACCATGCCGGCAACTTGGAATCGGCAGCCTGTTTGTGTTTCCAGTAGTTGAAAGGAATACTTGTCGGCGATGCGGTCAAATGTGCTGAGTTCAAAAAGGAGGGATCGAGGCTGCTGATCATTCTTAATGGGGCATGTTGTTGCCCCCATTGGATCACGGACGTTGACAACCAGAGGATACAGGGATTCAGGACTGCCAATGAATTCTTGAGTTTGAGCAAGAGCAGATGTGCCAAAGAAGTTGGAGAGTGCAAGGAAACTGATGAGAAGAGTGGCGAAAACCTTCATTGTTGTGGTGGATGATGTATAAATTGTTAGGTGAGTTTGCTTGTTTGGGTTTTGGATGCTTTTGTGTTGTCGTTTGCTTGCTTTGTGTTTTTGTGAGACAACTTGGAACGGTGGAAACAAGTCGCAAGGTTGAAGGAGGTTCATTCCTGCACCTGTACCGTACGACGATGCCGCCCCAACGGTTTGTTGAACTTTTGATTCCTGCATTCCCACAACTTGAAGTGGGAATGGAGCAGTCACAGTAGCCGCGGATAAACCGTGCTCGAGTAGGTACCAGGTACTCGAGTACGTACCGTACCGCTGCTTCGTCGCACTCACAACAACATACCGGTACATGCCATGGAAGTTGCTTTTAGTGCTTCTAAAGTTAGTTAGTTAGTTAGTTAGTTGGCATGGTTTGCTCACTAGGGAGTGAGGCTAAGCAGACAGGTTCCACTAACAAAAACCACGCAGCCTGACAGATGGGCATCGCAACATCGAGTCATCAGAGGACTGTCTACTGATGCGATGCTTGTCAGACTACCAAATGTAGCATTGGGCAAGTAAGTGGTCTCATGCAGCCCTCGTTTTTCTTTTAAATTAGCTCTATTCATCCTAACTTCAGAAACTCGGAGCATGATGATGCTGCCACTTCACTGGCAGTGCAGGATGTTGACTCAACATGCAACGTCAACGTGTTGCTTCAGCTGCCAGGTAAAGCCTTACCGCGCACCCACGGTCACTTTCTCTTCTCCTGCCGTATTCAACGAGTTGCCGTTTCTGCCGACTGGCTTCTTTCTCATTCATACCGATACTGAAGCGGACGGCCCAAAGGTTGCCGATGTACCTTATTGAGGGTGCGCCGCAAAACGGATGGAAAGGTTTCAAAGGCTGAGTTACGATAATTAGAGCTTACGATGGGATCGGCATGAGTGCAGGCTACAAAGATACTTAGGTTGATTGGGAGTTAAGTATGCCACACCGGCACATCCTCTCAACGACAGGCAGGCAGTTGAATTCTAATCACCGAATTCAACCTCCTGGATGATCATATTCCAATGGCAAGACCACCTTTTTCGATTCTGCTGGTGATTGTTGTTGTTGGTATACAAGCCGCTAGCCATGAGACTGTTCCGATGTATAGGTGGCGGTACTAGTAGTAGCAAGAATGAGAGGGTGTGTTTTGTGCTGCTGTGGTTGAATGTGTTAATTTTTGTGGGTATCCACGTGCCCATGCTTGTGTGCTACTGGTCCCCCAAGATAGTGGAATTCTGGGAGCACTATCGAGAACAACGGCAAGATAGGTTGATGCTGCTGACGGCAGGAACAGAAACAGAAGACAAAGAAGATCTGGCTGAGGAATCTGCGTTCAATCCAATGAAGAGTCCAGAAGCAGCTCCGTTGTCTCCTACACCCAGCGATACCTGCCCTGATCCACGCTTCACTGGCGGTTTCATCTTTGAGTCCTTGGAACCCAGGCAACAAGCACAGAAACCAGGAGGCAATCCAGCTTCCCCATCTGAACTACCTATAGGCCCTCAGTCGGATCCACTAGACTCAGACATAGACTTATCTAACCTGAGCCTTGTTCCCGTGGGTCCTCCGCGACCCTCCGACTCAAGAATCATGGCAGAGTTCCTGGCAGCGGCTGTGCTGATGGTCTTGGTGTGGTTCTCTGTGTGCTATAGGCAGTTGCAGCATAGCAGTAGGAAACAAGAGACGGAACCAATTAGTCAGGAAGCACAAAGAGAGAAAAGACCAGAAACGGCAGCACTGCCTGAACCTGAACTTGAACAGATGGAGCGCAGACCAACGACTTGTAGAGTCAAATCCATGATGACGGGCGTGGATGTGGTGGTTCAGCAGGATGACGAGTCTCAGCCAGGTGCCATCGTCGAAGTAGAACTTTCCAGGCAACTTTGTCGATCCAACAGCCATAAATCGACCGTCAGCGTTCGCAGTGCACGCAGCACACGCAGTGTTCGTACCACTCCCAGTGAAGACAAAGTCTTGGAGTCCTGCAATCACGTATTTGAGGATGAGGAACACAATCATGCCATTTATCAACTTACCACTACTGCACCGGTTGAACAGCGGAATCCACAAGACGAAGACACTGCTAGTAGTAGTACGGGTAGAAGGACAGAACGTGAAGGCAACCAACCAAACAAGACAAAGATGTGCCACCGTTGCAAAACCACTCTGGATGCTAGTTGGAGATTCTGTTGTTCTTGTGGTGCCACAGTCAGTATACTGGCATCCACTCCCATACAGTTGCACACAAGTAGTTTCCGGACGGCCGTGGAGGACGACGACCTGGAAATTGTCAGGTCGCGGTCCGAAGAATGCACGGCTTCCACCACCGAACACGTACTTAAGAGAACCAACTCTACTGGAAGCATGTCCTATTTGACAGCCAGGAGTGTTCAGTCGCGAGCTAAAGAAGCAGAAGAGAACAGTCATACTAATGCCCGAGAAGCGATCGAGCCACAGGACGAGACAGTTCAAGCAGACCACCCCAAGAAACCAACGACGACGTCACTGGAGAAACTGGCAAGGAATAAAGCTTCAGGGCAACAGGAGGATGAGGAATTGATCCACAAGGATGATTACCCTGCTCCTTTCTGTTTGTCGGATGATGTCACGAGCAACATTAGCTTGTTTGACCAGATACCACAGTACCCAAGTGCCGTCACGATTACGGATCCAGTCGCTGTTGCTGCCATTCTTGGTGGTGGCGCCGTTGCCGTTCAAGAATCGTCCATGATGGATCCTCTCAACATCAAGTTCCGAAGAACAGACTCGGTTTGCATCGGGTCGAGACTCTGGCCTCTCGCCCATTTACAGACAAGATATCCACCCAAATGGGGACATCCCAACAAAGAGGTAATTGCACAAGTCTCGTGGTCGTCGTCGGCAACGCCCAAACCAGAAGTAGTGACTACATCAAGTTCTTTGGAGGAGTGGATTCGTGCCTCTCGTTGGTCCAGGCCCTCGGCGTTACCCAAAAGAGTCAAACGAGCCAAGGTCTACGTCGAATCGAGCAATTTCAGCTACGACACAAGCGGAACCAAGCGAGATCACAGGACGACACATTGGCATTTGAACTTTGCTGGTGATCGGCTTTTTCGTGCTGGAGAAGGAACGACTTTTGAAGAAGAAGAATTGCAAGTCCTGGAACATCCCTGTCTGGCATCCCTGGCAATAGCCATTCAAGATGCCAGGGTACATCGTGTGGAAGGACTGTCGACGCTGACTCACGAACCAGAAGTCGGACCGACGCCCATCTTGATCAAGGGAGCCCAACGAACGTGCCATATCAATACTCGAAGGTTGGACCCAGAGTTTTTGGATGGCGCTGCTCCAGAAGAAGTTCGAGAGGCGACGGAAGCCTTGCAGATTCCAGTCACTATCAACATTGCGGCTTTGCCAGCCATCCCACGCGGCGAGGGACGCTATACTGTCAGCCAAATCCGAAGACTCTTCATCTACGCCTACACGGGCTTTCGGGCCGTGGTACTCGAGAGCGGCGGTCGCAAACCCGTCCTGCACACAGGATTCTGGGGCTGTGACGACCTGCAAGGAGGAAACAAGGGGCTGACATCAGCCATTCAAATTCTGGCGGCTGGAACTGCCGGTATCAAGTACATTCATTTCAAACCGGGCGACAATTCGGCCTTTGATCGCAGTGCCATGTGGCATGGAATCAATGTGGCCAATGCGCTTCATGGACAGACATTTGATTCCGTGGTGAAGCTGCTAGTGTCCTCAGGCTACTCGTGGAGTGATCAAGACCGCTCGCATCTGCCGTATCAACCGCCTCCGGCCAGTATCTGGACAAACTAGGCTTCAAATAATGGAACGAATGAAGAAAGAAGGAGCGTGCATGCCCTATAGGGCGTGCTTCGAGTCTCGGAGGAGGAATTTGGTACCTGACTGATCCATTTTGCCCATTTGGAATAGGCAAATGAGAAAGCCAATCCAAGTAATCGATGAGTCGAGTTGGAGGACGCATATGATTGACAAGTTACAGGAACTCGCAATGGTGACCCATAGGTTGTTGTACATGTAGCTAGTAATCCTTAGAAATAACTAACTGTTTGCATTTGATTGAGCTAGCTAGCTAGCTAGCTAGAGGGGTTGACGGTGCACAGAGCTGTCCTGCCCTTATGGGTGGGAGTGTGGCTGTGGGTGCCACACTGGCACTGCAGAAAGCAGAAAGTGACTCTGTCCAACTGAGCACGTAACTTTACTTGGATATTCCAATTCTATGGCAAGGCAACCCCATCAGCTGTGTCAAAACCTTCCGGACCCAACACTGCCAACTCTGCAACAAGGAAAGACTTGAAATACTTCGACGTTCTCGAGAATCACCAGAAACAATTAATTATCAACACACGCAACGAAATCTACGGCACCTGCCGACACAATCCAAAGTTTCACAAGTACATATAATTTAGCCCAGCACTGATGAGTCTCACAGAGGAGATGAAAGAGTCATGCCAAAACCAAAAAGTAACCACAGAGGCCAAAGCCTGTGTTTTGGTGGTTGGTGACCTACCTGTTTCAGTAAAATTTACTTAATCCAGTCACTCTTTGCTAAAATCGTATGATATTCTGCCCATTTACCGGGGACTTCAGCTCTGCTGGACAGCTTCATGCGGCTCAGAGGGCTTTCAAGCATGGCATCCAATACCTATCACTTAGCCGGTGTGCCCTCAAGGTAATCATCCTCCTCGGGTAGCATTTGGTCCTGCTGGGAATCGCCACACTGAATCGTAACATATCGTAAGCCCAGTCGCGAATTTGAAGGACTGGGACCCCCCGACTTAACGCAAAGAGTACACGACATTGGCTTTGACCTGGCCTATTCAGCACTCACAAAATGCTGGCCAATTGCAACAACCACTTACCGGCACAACTGAATAGAGATCAAACACACCTGCTCACGACTGGTGTTACTGGAAACCCCACAAAAAATGAACCCAACAATGCCGACAACCAATGGTGAAATCAAAGATGGCGATGAGGAAAAGAAGAAGTCAGGAGGGGATAGAGATAAGAAGACAACTGCAGGGAACGAATACCCACTGACGGGAATCAAACGACCGGGAGAGCATGACGTCCTTCAGGGCAGGGGAGGATTGGCCAACAACTTTTGCGGGTGAGAATGGCGTTCTGTGTTACCATCGTTACTTTTAAATTGATTCCGATTACTTATTACTCTTGGTCATGTCTCTTTTGACTGACTTGCAGGAACATACTCTATCGAGCCACAGTAGAATCCAGAAAGGCCGAGTACGTGCAAAGCCAGCGGTCCAACAAAACTGCCTTGTCTTGGCACTTGGTGAGGTGGTGGCGGTCCTTGGACCCTCCAGGACGGTTCCTGAAGCAAGACGACGCGGGACTCTGGCATGATATTGGTGATAAGAAAGCACGGCGCAAGACTAGCCAATTGTTCCGTGAAGATGCAAAGGCCGTTAGAGCTCAGATTGGGTGCAATGCTGAGCACCAGGGGGATGGGGCAGATGATGCCTCCGAAGGCACAGAGGATACCACGGCTACAAATAATCCTCACCCGGAATTGGAACTCGCCAAACCAACGGTAAAACCCACGAGCACCAGTGAACACCACAGCCGTATCAGCAGCAACAAGCCATCGCCTCAGCAAACCAAGGGAAAAGGTCTGCCAGTCCGAAAGAACTCTACCTCCAAAAAGCAGTACCAAAAGGTGGCATACAAACCAAAGGGACACGTCAAGCCAGCACCTCGGTACGCGGCAACTGCAGCAGCACGCAAAGACACAACAACCCACCTGCCAGAGCAAACCCCAGAAACGCTGGCGGCCAACATCACGGGCGGTATAGAAACCACACAGATGCCGTTGTTGGGTGAGTTCGACTTTCCAAAAGAGGAGGAGGACGGTGAGCGCAAGCCACCTGCGCTGGCGGTGGAATCTGAAGACTCCAAGCAAGAGTAAGCAGCTGTGGATTCGTCGGTTGTGGCACAAAGTTTGTAAGGAGGACTGTATCCTCACCTCTTTCTCTCCCTTCGCGACCTCACAGACCATGGGCAAGCCCCTTAGATAGGCTTCTCGACAACGAAGAGTTTGTGCTCGGTGATCTCGGTGACCTTGTATTCAACACTGCTTCGGGTGTGCCTCTGGAACCGCTGATGGACAATCTCATGAACACCAGCAACACAACTCAACAACCTACTATTGAAGACCCCATGGACGTAGAGTTCGAAGAAGACGATTCTGGCAGGCAAGTCAAGCGTGAGGCCGCCTGAGGCTTTCACGCTGCTCCTAGGGTAGCTTTGCTAAACTAGGAGGTGTATCTACGAATGATCAATCCAAGTTTCTAACGAACGAGCCCTTTCTCACAGGTTGCTCTTTATTGGCGTCAGCTTTTGATTTATACATTCTCAAAGCCTTTCTCAACACAGAAAGGCACACTGCGGAACCAGAAACGCGAAGTGGAGTGGATGTGTAGCTGTGCAACGTCAAGGTGGAGTGTGTGAGTGTGACAAATGATTGCACTAGTGTGACAAACGAATATAGAAGGGTGGCCAGGAGGAAACAACGGTGCAGCCGATACCCCAGAAAGAGTGATAGAATGCTTTAGGATCATAATATAGAAGCCATCAACCGCCGTTACCCCGTTACACGAGCAAGTAGCACGGGAGCTAGTCGTCTCCTCATGGCCCCGAAACCACCAGAAACACCAGAAAGCACACAACCAAAGCGAACCGTTCCGTCCACCCACCCAGATAGCCATGAGAGCTAAGAAGTCGCTGCTGTGGCTCCCTGTCCCCTCCCCAGATTCACGACAGGGCATCATAGGTTGCGCTGGTGCGGGTTGAGGCAGTGTTTGGTCGTGCGGGGCACCCTTGGTACTTGGGTGCACATTTCGTTGTGGGATTGAACCAATGATCGCGTGCCAGACGTGCTTTGCTAAAGGTCATACTGGAATCTTTTGAGTACGAAAGGTGTCTTCCTTTAATTCATACTTTGAACATGATTACTTAATGTGATGTTTCGCAATGAACAATTTGTCCAGGCTTAAGTATAGAGCACACAGTCCTGACAAAAAACCAAAACTAGGTTGGGCAAATTCATCTCTGGAGTCCGACGCCAAGATCCAAAACTATAGGGTTTCTGCTCTTCGCGATGTTGATGGCTATTTGCTTACCAGTATGCTCTGACTCGGGATCCCTCTAGTCTAACAAGTTGAAATAGGCCCGAGGGACAGTATGTGACGAAACTGTAGGGAAAGGAGGTTGGTATCTACAGGCTACCTAGACGTTTAGATGGTTTGTGATTTGTGACTCTGGACGAAAGACTTGATGTTCTCTGAGTTTCAACTTTACTGTCTTGTGAGGGGCTAGAACGTCGCAGCATCTTGGCATCCTAATTTGATCAGCTACTAGTACAGAATACCCACAGTTTGCCAGATGTTGTTCAGGTCTTTTGGGCTCGATCTCCTCTCTCTGCCGATAGCACCATTGTAATGCTTAGATTGGTTTACTGCTTCCATACAGACCGTAATGTCAGTTGCCAAGCTCTATGTATAGATCTTGCTTACCGGAACAACTACAAGGTTGCTGTTTGTCTAAATTCCCTTGGCTGCTCTGGTGCTCTGGAGCTAAGAAAGAGACGTGCCACTTTTTTGGGTATCTGGAAACGCGACTTTTATTTCATTGGTTGCTTAAGGCAGTGTTGACTAGTTCGATGTCTAAATTAAGCCCTGATTCCAGTTTAATTTGGCTTCTGTTTCGGCAAAACTGTGCTCTTGTGCTGCTATAGTAGGACTGTACCAGGTCTGGTCATCCTGGTTGGATGCAAGACACGCGCATCCGGCACAACTCGTCCTATCCTAATTCTGTCATCCAACTTTGTTAAGGCTGCAGTAGTGCCATAGTACAGGTGCAATCTTCCCTTTACGTAGAGTTTGTGCCAGCTTCTACGTGGCGTACTTCTTCTTTTGTAGAATGTTTGAGCTTCCGGTGTTCCTCATGCTTGGTGGAGGACACGATTGCAGGCCGATTGCTTGGGGCCCATTCGCAATCTCATCAGATGCAAAATCCGACGGCACCTCCCCTCTCCCTCTCACAATTTTGAATCATCCAGATCCGGAACCTACAAAAACCAAAACAACAGCCAAAATCTTTTATCATAACACCCTGCTATCCTAATTTAAAAAACACACAAGCAAAATGGGAGCCCACGAAAGAAGCGATTACCCCATGAAGGATATTGAATATCCGCTTGCCAATGATGTGGTAAGTTCCAACGGCAGGGGTATCTTTGGGTACCGGTAGCAACCGGAACAACCGAATGCGTTGTTTTTTCCCTGGGTTCGGCTGTTCAGCTCAGCCTCTGCATTTCGCTCACCATTGTGCCTCTAATGTCGACTTTCATTTTTCTTATTAGGTATACGGCAGGGGTGGACTAGCCAACAATCACAAAGGTAGGTAATGCAGGGTTTTGTCGCGCAGCCATGGTGGCTTCGCTTGAGAGTGCCCCCAAGCTCGGATCCACATCGTCATCGAAACACGAATAAATTTCCGACTCGAACTCAACCAATGCTGTTTGATCTTGTTTCGGTCCAACCAGGCAACAAGCGATTCCGCTCCATTGTGAACACCTTCAAAGCTCAATACGCGGTCTCCTCTCGTCACGAAAAGACCGCCATGGCAGAGTCCTTGGTCAAGAAATGGAGGGACCAGACTCCCCCAGGCCGTTTTCTCAAGCTCAACCCTGCCACTGACCTCTGGGACGATGTTGGTAAGAAAGCCAGGGGCAAATGCAGTCAATTGCTACGCGAAAAGGAAGATAGCAAAGACGAGGATGACTTCGACGAAGTCGCCAACGCGGCACTGGCAGGATCAGAGCAAGTCGAAGACATCCAACCACTACCTCCCGCGCCCATGGAAGACGAGGACAAATACAGCTCCCCTCTGCAAAACAGGACTACCCGAGAAATCCAACCCGTGTCACCCGATTCAGTCATGGACATGCCATTCTTCTGCGTCGAGAGCGTCGCCAAGGCTGCATCAGCTCGTCAGGATGAAGCTCAAGCGGCCTTCTCCAGCATGCTCCAGGGTTTCAAGACTCCTGCCCTTCCCCCCAGGCAAAAGCTCAAGCGCCGCAAGTCCAGCAGCAGCAGCGCTTCCGACATCAAGCCTGCCGCCAAACGTCCTTCGGTGGCCGACACTCCTCAGGGATCTTTCTTTCGCAACTTGATCCCCAAGAATATCAAGGTGGTCACCATCGAACAGGACAACGCCGCTGGATCCCCCACGCGAGGCAAGCCTGCTGCTGTGGTCAAGAAGGAGACCGTGGCACATATTGAATGCCCCATGGAAGTCGAGACAAACGCCCCCGCATGCAACACCGATGCCATCTTGCTGGAGGCTGACAAGGCAGCCTCCAATCAGCGCGAGGCATGCGCGGTGGGCTGTGACATTCCACGCCCCGCCAAGGTCTCGTATTCTAAAAGGGAAAGATCCATCGATATCTTCACCATGGAGATCAGTGTCGACAACAAAAAGTCAGGGGGTCTCGGCGACAGCGAGCATTCCTTCTCGTAAGTGTTTGTGCTAACTAGAGGTTTCCTTTTTGCTTGGCAACGAGCACGCGTCTAACGGTCAATTGCGTTCTCTGTTCCAATTCAGGTTGAAGAGTTTGGAGATGGAATTTGATGACGATCCCATCCTCAAGAAATGCTTGGAGTAAGTACGAGTTTGCGTAAAGTGGCAGCGCCTCCTCTCGTGTGAACGCACCATGCTCACAATGCCCCCTGCATCTCATGACAGACTCTACGAGTCCTCAGAACACAGCGGTACAGCATCCCGAAAGTCAACGGCAACCTTCTCGCTCAACAGTAGCAGCAGCACAATGGACCACATCATGGAAGACATGACCGGCCAGAGAAACACGTCTTCGGACACGGCCATTTCGTAAGTTGAAACCATTGAGTCCTTCTGTTTCACCTCGCCCCCACGACCGCACCTCACCCCCAACTAACTGCTTGTCTATTTCAGTGGCCATTCTGTCAGCGCCATTCAGTGTTGGGAAGCAGCCTATGGGACTGGTGACAACGAGAGTCAACCAGACCTCGATGACTTCTCCTTGATGAGCACGGAGTCGTTCCTTGACGATCCATCCTTTGACGACGAACCATACGCCAGGGCCGTCGACGAACTGTCGCATGAGGGCTTGGATAGTGGGTCGAGCCACACGGCAAAGTCCGTGGACAGCGAGTAAGTGCGGATGTTTCCCCTCCATGCATGCATCGATGCAACGGATACCTTTCTGACCATTCTGTTTGTCTTCATCTTACTTCCAAAGAACGCTTCACCAACTAGTACAAGGAACTGCCCAAGCCACCCTGGCGTAGAGAAACGCCACGAAAGACTGTAGGAAGACTGAAACAATTAGCGAATATCATAGGGAGACAATCTCTAGAGACTCAAAAGTGACAACGACAAGACAAAAGACAAACCAATCAGCAGGCTTCCGGAGGCTGATACCGACAAATTCATAGCCGGCGATGAGGTGCAGCAGGATCTGCATGCAGCCCAACTTCCGTCCTCCCGGCTCTCCACCTCCAACATTCAGATCCAGAGGCTTGCGGGTTCGATCCCGCACCCAAAGCTCCATCATCCCCAAATTACATGTTGTCAAAATGACATCAAATAGGATTACCATAATGCATCATCTACTGTAAGAACGAACAAAATCAATCGTGGGATGTTTGGGCCTCTAGCTAGTACCTATATAGTTGACCACGAGAGATCTATAGCACTGCAAGGTTGAACCACCAAGTGCAGCAGATACGTACCGGTAGGCTAGGGAACGCAACAACTTCTCGTTAGTTACCGATAGCAGCTGCTGCAGCTCTTCTTTGCTGCACTGGTGTTCTCCCTGAGGTGTTAGTTCTAATTATGAACGGTCTGCAAATGTATGCATAGTTGAGGTAAATAATAGATCGGATGCTATAATTATTCACAAAGCATTAACGAATCATTATACCACATCTACCTGAATGGTTCAATCCCACAGTTGCATGGATCTTTTTTTGATTGGTCCAGCCACTGGCTTGACGTTTTCAAGCTGTCGGGTTCAAGCTGCTCCCAAAAGACACGAATTCTTTCCAGAAAACAGGAGAGGATGATAGACAAGTTACTAGCTAGCTAGTACTAGTACTAGTAGTTGATGGATAGAGACCTCATATCGATATCATAATCCATGCCTCGCTTTTGTTAGTCTACTAGTAGCAAGAATAGAACGACCATGAACGCCTTTGTTTCAACGGCACTAGCTGTGCTCTTGGCTGCGCCGTTGGCTAGTGGCTTCACTGTGCCGGCATTGACCCAATCCCCCCGTGGAATTGCTACCAGTACCAGTACACGTCTCTTCTCCATTCTCGGCACGCAAGAAGACTCCAAGGAAGCTACAGGTATTACCAGTACTACCTCCTTCGATCCTGCAGCTGACTTTGAGGAGATCTCTATTGGTGTGTTGGAGGAGACCTTTTCGGATTTGGACCAATCCGACGACATTATCCGCGATTTTGACGGGTATCCCGTTTCCAAGGACTACCTTGCCGAAAAGATGGGCATTGAACATGTGGACTATTACACCTGTCCCGAAGCAGACGCCTTTCGAGGTTTCATGTCGGACGCCTGTCGCGTCATTCTCTATCCCGGTGGAGAAACCGCCTTTTACAAACGCATCGTCTTTAAGGATCTGGACCATGCCCGTGAGAAACAAAAGAAAGCACCCTTCAAACTCCTTCGCGATTGCAAAGGGAACGAAGTGGTGGCAGCCTTCTTGTCCTCCCAAGCTTGTCAGCAATTGGTTGAACAAACGGGAGTGCGTATTCCAAAATGTTATCACGCAAAACTAGAGCCCAATCGGGAAAATCCCATTGAATCAAAATTCAGTTTTGTGCTGCAAGACTTTTCCCCCGCCGATGGCTGGTATCAACAATGGCTCTTGGACGAGCTCGACGAAGTTCAGGCAACCCTCTCAATGTATGCCAAGACTCATGCCTTTTTTTGGCAGGGGTCCTCCTTTTGGAAGGATACCCAAGCTGCTCAAGAGTTGGAAGCCGGTGTGTGGAAATCCGGTAGCTATGTCCAACCCAAGGCACAAAATCCCGAACAATGCCATATTGTTGCCTCTGAATGGGCCACCAAGCGACAGAAATTTGAAAAAGAGCTGTCGTCATTTGACTTTTGGGATACTTTGGGTGAACGGTTGCAATCCGTCGCGGTAGAAGCCGGCCGTCACGCACATCCCTTTGCGGACGACGATCTAGCGGAACAGTACCAACAGTACCGAACATTTACACATGGAGACCCAAAGCAAGCTAACCTGCTCTTTCGTCGTCCCACAAATTCAGAGCTCCAAGTGGGTCTGATTGACTTTCAATGGGCAGGATTTGGTTTGGCCGCTTCGGATATTGCGCACTTTCTCTCGGCTGCCGTTCATGCGGACCGGTTGATTGATGGTGGTGAAGAGACTCTGATGCGGTATTACTTTGACGAGCTTCAAAAATATCTGGTGGAATACGGAGCATTTCACACGGCTGAAGAAGCCATTCAAAAGTATAGTTATGAAACATTCGTGGAGCAGTACGAGACGGCAGTACTGGATAAAGTTCGATTGGTGGTGGCGTATACTTGGGCGAGGTTTGAAATGCCCGTGGAGAAAGACGACAAAGAAGGGTGTGCTCGGACCATGAACAAGACGTCTTACAACAAATCGATCCCGAATATTGTCCATTTGATGAGTCGTTGCGATGCTATATTGAAATCTCGAGGAGTTTAAAAGTATGTTGCACTACAATGGCATGAGAGCCTATTCCCAATCACACACCAAAGCTTCAAAGTTTCACAGCCGATCACCATCCTATGCATTTTGCAGCAGACAAAATGGATTTGTATTTATAATGAATAAAAATCAGCCATACGATAGCCTACACCTCCAATATTCGTTTCTGTTCCCTTCTCAAAACAGATGGAACTTTCTGGACGAGATTACCATAACGCATCATCTAGTAGAACGACGAAATCATTCATGCGATGTCCTACATGTAGTTGACGCCATATTATGGATCCATAGCACTGAAGAGTGGTAGGATCCACTTACAGCAGCGGACAAGTAGGTCATGGCACGCAAGCACTTCGGGATAACATCTCTCTACTTGTTAGTTCCATGGATCCAACCATGGTGGCACATCGGCAGCAAAGGTCCGCCAGGTCGTCATTCATCAACCACTGGTTTTTATTGTCTCACTTCAAATATTTATGGCACTTTGATACAGAACATGGATAGACAGACGCACTTTTGGATTGTTTGATGTCGTTTTCTTTTTTTCAGTAGATTGTTAAATCGACACTGATTGTTGTGTTGCATGTCTTGTTACACGATCAAGACGGTTGCAACTTGGTCGGTATCATCATCGAACGCCAGACCATTCTTGGAACAACATTTGGCGTCATGTTGATGATAATTGGCAGTTTGCCGCGCCAGTTGTGCGACTGTGCAGCACCCACAAAAGCAGACACAGCAAACGTCTTCCACAGGAGAGGGACAGAAGGAGGTGGGAATGGAGTAACGTTCACGGACGGCAATGCGTCTATAGAAGGATAGAAAGGAAGAAAAGTCAGTCCGTCTTGCCCAATGTATAGTGCTGTTGAAAAGCAACAGTCCATTGTTTTCTGGTATGGTTGGACTTACAATTTGATCAAGACAATGAGACAGTAGAGAGAGAATGCGGCATTGACGAGCTGGTACAAGGCAAGCTTGGTTGGATCGGTATTTGCGGAAATAATCTCCCCATCTGCGTCGACCTCGGGCGCCACGATGGTGGCCACAATCCAGTAGATGACAACGACTCGGACCACATTACGAAAAGTAGTCTGTTTGGCAGTGGGAGAATCACGACCTGCCAACCAACTCATATTCATGCGTGTGAGTACCTGTCCCATGAGGAATTGTGGAAAGCACATGGCACACCAGAGTGACGCGTGACAGGGTCCCAAGATGCAGCAATCAAAAATGTTGTCTTTCCAGACTCCACGAGGAGCACGGGGGTCCCCACTGGTCATGGTAGTAGTTCCGCCAGTCGTTGTGACAGCACCCGTCAAGGGAGTGGCTTCACCGGGTGGAGCCGAGGGATTGGCTCTCATGGTTACTGGAGCTGTGAAGGTTTGACCTTCCTTGACGCCTCCTTCAGGCTATAACGCAAGTGTTGGGTAGGCATAGGTAATAGTATGGTAGGTAGCAAAACCGTAGCCAATTGATAAGACAGCAAAAGATGAAAGACAGATTGATATATTCAGTGAGTGACAGCATTCGTCTTATTCTCATTGGCTTCTCAAGTTGTGCCCTAGCTATGGCTAGCTAGCTAGCTAGCTAGCTAGCCACAGCTACGTGGGAATAGGTTCGGCAGACCATGCATGCAGTACATGTACATGTACTAGCAGGTAACTTACCACTGTGATGGAAACTGTCTTACCATCCACTTTCGCCATGAAAGAGTAGCCTAAACCGACGGACAGAAAAGAAAGATCAGAAACGCTATTCATCAAAAGGTAGACTGGGCTATAGTACCACTATCAGTGCTTGTCTACCGTGGAACGTGGAATACTGGGGTATCCTCCTGTTGTGACCTTACCTGCATCCAGCGTGGCAGGAGCTATCACTTGCACAAGTTGGGAGTCTGCAGCAGGCACTGCTTGAGCTACGGGAATATCTTCGTTGGCCATGGTGTGCTATCTCTAGGATTCTCAACAAAAGAAGAAAGAATCTTGAATTTGCCCTTTCGCTGTTGTCTCTTGTGATTTTGTGTGGTGTCAGTTTGTGGCATTTGGATCTTCTTTCTTTCCAACCATTCACGCGGCACTCAAACTTCAGTCTTGCCGAAAATCGCGAGGGTCAAGGATAGAAGTGGAAGCGGGAGGATCTTACTGGAATCAGTATTAAGCTGGTTCAGCTGCCAATACAGCACATCCGATATCAACCATTCTTCGATTGATTCGATTCACGTGGCACTCAAAAAAGAAAGTCGGCTCAAGGATTTATAGGAACAAGCCAATAATGACCTTTCCAGCACCTCAAATATCTCTGGCAGAACACATCTGCTTACTGCTTATATCCGAACTACTAGCTATTAGGAAAGAAAAGATGAAAGAAGAGGTTGATAGTAAGAAGATGAAGGACGAGGAAGAATCTCCTGGCACTGGTACCAATGGGAGCGATACACTCGATCCAGCGGTACGGGATATTCTCCTTGAGAGGGCCGAGGCCGAAGCTGCTCAATTCCAAGCGGAGGAATTCAGTAAAGAAGAAGGAGAAGAAGAAGTCATGGACCCCGTTGTCCTGGATATTCTTACCAAGCGGCCCGCTTTGGATGCCAAACAGTTGGAAAAGGATGAAGAAATTGCCATGGTCAGAGATTTGAACACGAAACAAAGTCTCAGTCAAGAAACAAGTGAATCCAGAGAAGAAGAAATTATGCAAATAGTGGCAGGTCAAGCCAGTTTTGCAGCCGCGGAACGTCTTACTGCCAAAGAAAATCTAGAAAATGCCAATGCAGCCATTGTCAACACAAATGATGACAACACACAAAAAGCTGCTCTTGGAATTGTGGTAGGGCCCCCCACAGCAGGAGATGCTGTCCCACAAACTGCCTTGCACCGAACAACGGGTAACCATCAGATGAATCCACAATCTCAGCCAGGTGCATTCCTGGGTGCACCAGGAGGACAGATGGAACGAAACCCAAACTTAAACTACGGCCTTGTTGGTGCCAATTCGGGGACTCAAAGTGGCCCACAATATTCGACAAATAATGAAGGGTTGGTAAGGGCTAATGCTGTAGAGGATGATACCGCTGATTTGATGCATGCCAATCCGGTTGATCTGGAAACCAACCAGCATCGAGAACTCCAAAGGAGCAGCAACAGAGACTTTTATTGCAGCATTCTTTGGTTGTTGCTGGTTGCTGCCATTGTTGTGGGATTCGTGGTAACACAAAAGAACAAGGATACAGTGGTCGTAGTTGAGTCAACTGAGGCTCCAACAGTTTATGGCTCCATGGAACCCTCTGAAGTCCCATCCACCGCTCCCACTGGTTCTCTTGACATGCTGTTGGGTAGCCTACAAGACTACACTTTCGCCAGCATCAATAGTGGTAGTGAAACCCCTCAATGGAGAGCATGGCAATGGTAGCCAATCACCAAAATATCACTTTCTTGAAGAATGGAGGAAGGTGCAGCTGTTGCTCTTGCTCTTCTTCTCCTTTGAAGGAGAAAGTTGGATCCTCTGATAAAAGAACGATGGATGGATGACACGTCGAAGAGTGCACTGGTTCTCCATGGTTTGGTTATTTTTTTTGGGTCATACTTTGAATTTGCCAGAACCTGCACCTACCTGCAACAGCCAAGGGCAATTTACATCTCTGAATATGCAACAACTTGAGCAATCTGGTCTCCCCCCATTTTTGCCACCTGAGATGCGCTTTGACTTCCTTGTCCCTTGTAGACTTGTCGAACAATGACATTGCTGGACCATTTCATCTCTGTTACCAGAACTTTATGAGATGACTGGTTTGATACATTTGAGTTTGTCGGGAAATCGGTTCACTGGCAAAATTCCCTCCGAGATTTCACTATTGACTTCATTGTCCCAACTTAGCTTGGGGCTGAATGAATTGACTGGTAAATTTCCTTCTGATGTTTTGCTCCTGACCTCACTGGATGAACTTGACCTTTTTCATAATCAGTTTACCGGTCCACTGCCTTCGGACTGGGCCCTAATCACTGGCAGTCTTGACCTTCAACAATCAGTTTACAGGCCTGCCTTCGAGTTGGCTCCTGACCTATTGGACAGTCTTGACCTATCTGGCAACCAGTTGACTAATCCAATTCCTTCCGAGTTTGGGCTCCTGACCTCATTGGAAACTGTTTGGCTCGAATCAGTTCCGGTCCATTCCTTCTGACTTGGTGCTCCTGACCAAGATAGGTTGCTTTGTCTGAATCAGTGACTGGCGTTCCTTCGAGCTTGGCTCTGACCTCATTGGAGAGGCTTAGCATTGATCAGAACCAGTTGACCAGTCCAGTTCCTTCCGAGGTTGGTGCATTGACTGCATTGAAAAGGCTGTGGTTGCAAGAAAATGAGTTATCTGGAAAGATTCCCTCGGAGTTTGGTCTCCAAACCTCACTGGTGAGGTTTGGCATTCTTCAAATCTGTGACGGTCAAGTTCCTTCTGAGTTTGGTGCATGTACTTCTTTGACTAGACTGTGGTTAAATGACAACCAGTTCACTGGCTCCGTTCCCATGAGCTTTGGCTCCTGACATCATTGTTGGAGCTTCACCTTTATGACAACCAATTCACCGGAACCATCGCAACTGAAGTTGGTATGATGAAATCTTTGACATATCTGGGTCTTCAGAACAATATTTTGATGGGACCCCTACCCATCCAACTGAATGCATCTATGGGATTGAGGCTATATGGGAATCTCTTCTCAGGAACTGTGCCGAAGCATCTTTGTTCTTTGCTGCAGTGTGATTGTTCCCTCAATGAAACTCCTCCTGTTGCCACATGTGCCGAACTCACAGAAGTTCCACCTGATTGGCCTGGGTGGTTTCCAGCCAGACCTACTGATGTCATGCTGAATATCCAAACTGATCATAAACCTTATGAAACATCGTGGGTTTGGCAGAAGGAAACCAATGTGACTGGTGTTTGGGATACACAGGAATCAGGTGGTCCACTGGAGTTTGCATATTATCTTTATTCCTCTCTCTTCCCTGTCAACACTGAAACATCCTACAGATTGATTGTATCTGACAGGCGGGGTGATGGCATACCCAATGGTTGGATCACTATGACAGCCACCAACCAGACAGTGTTGTATTCTTTGGAAGCTGGGGAGTTCTTCTCTGAACTCACCATTGCCGTTTTGGTTAGAGCAGATGGATCTTTTGATATCACACACTTCTAGCAAAGAGTGACTGGATATCACCATTTCTACTCCTCTGTAATTCAATGTTAAATATTTCTCTATTGGTAAACAACTACTCAGTATGCAGTCATTATTAGCTAGATAATCCCATCCATTTTCCTGCAGTCGGAGCGAACTGGATCGTGAGAACTGAGCGAAAGACGAACGGGTTACTATGTGGTTGCAGGGGACTGTGGGTGAGATGGTCGAATTCTGCAAACACGGATAGAGCATGTCGATGCAATCCCAGAACTTTCTTTGGGAATGCCAAACTTAGCACGGCTTGATGAAGCAAGCCATGCTGTCTTTGGCATTCCTGCAATTGAACTATGCTACGTTCCGGTATAGAAATTTCCAGCTAGTTTCTGTCACAATCTCGTCCAGTGAGGACGCATAATCCCCCGGGTCGGAAGCCAAAAACCAAGCCCTTCTGCCCCCATGTTGGTGATCGATTTATCTCCCCTGATCCCACAGAACCTAGCCGCGCATTTTTGCCTCTTCGTTGCCTTTGGAAGTGGACTGGCCTCTCAAAGGTTCCGTCCGTAATTTTCTAATACGGAGGGAGAATATAATAAGCAATCGGCTGGCTTATTGGACACTAACCCTATACTACGGTATGCTGTATCGCTATCGCCAGCAGAGGTGCGCGATATCGCGTGGTGCGCAGATCGCATTGGAAATTTTGCACACAACCCAAACAACGTGAGACCAAAACATGGCAAATCCAACATTGCAAGCAAAGAATGCAACGCAAGAGTAGCGTACCATGACTGTCCCTCCATCTTCTTCCAGATCTATCACTAGCAATAATGCATCATCGGCAGCCCCAGCTGGAACGATGAAGACAATCATTCGATCTTGTCTAGCTTTGATCGTGGTGGCGGGATTGCTTCAGAATCCTACTACCAGCTACGTCCAATGGTACCGGGGACCACGCAAACTATCCGCCGAACAGGACTTGGCAGTGGCTACTAGAAAGCAACCTCTCGCTGATGATACCGCTATCAGTATCGATGCTTCAAGTGGCATCCGTTCGGATCAATCGGAGACATCTTTGCAAGGCACCGCAGATACCCCTGAATTTGCTACTGCGGCTGCAGGCACTGACACTCACACTCACGCTGTCAGTGACATTGTCCCTAAAACTGGCAGTGGCAGTACTAGTGTTGCCAAGAGAAATGATAATCAGGAAGAGAAGCAGAGCAAGCAGATCAAGCAACAGGGACGAAAGAAGAAGAACAAGAGGAAGGAGAAGCAGTCGAGTCTGATCAGCGGTAAGAAAAGTAAAGATCAGCAGCTTGAAAGTTTGCCTCCATTGGACTCTTTGATTGGTGACTTGAACGAGGACATTACGGGTGATGTTCAGTTTCTGTTGGACTTTGCCATTGTAGGATTCGGCAAGTGTGGGACTACGGCGCTCATCAACTGGCTCGATGATCATCCTGAAATAAACACCATTCCCAAAGAAGCACTCCATCTCCCACGCAAGAGGCCGGCATTGATGGTTCAGAAACTTCATCAAATGAAAGAGCAAACTCTACTCTCACAACAACAAAATAGCACTAGCAACAACAGCACCAGCACAACGAACTCTCTTCAGGGATTCAAAAACCCAAGCGACGTACGACGCCCCGAATCCATGGCATACATTCAAAAGTACTGGCCACAAACCAAACTCATCATTACCGTGCGGCATCCGGTCTTATGGTTCCAAAGTCTCTACAACTTTCTAGTCAATGAAATGGGACGTTCTCAAAAGTTCTTGCGTCACACATCGCTCATTGGAGGTCCGCACAAGAACACGGCCTACGCCCACACTGGCAAGGGAGAGTTCCATGCCATTCTCAGCCTGCTCGGGAAAACACCGCTCAACACACCACAAGAATTAGAGCTACTCCAAGGATTCCTCCAAGAAGACGAACTGGAACAGTACTGGCCACCACCCACACCGGGGTTGCCCAACCCAATATTCTTTCTGGACACTTCCCAAATGAGCGACAGCAACGAAACGCGTGCAGCACAGTTTCGGTACGATCTGCAAGACTTTTTGGGATTGCAACAACCTTTGCCGCCCGTGCCGCATGTTCGTCCGGGCAAAGATCGAAACGTCGATGAGTCTCTCAAGATGGATATTTGTGCTCCCGAAAATGACGTTTTGCGAGCCGAACTCATGCGAATCTCGCGCAAGGCC